AAAATTTTCAATAAAATGAAATAATAAACAAGTTAGAAACTCTACATTAGGGATCCTCAACCCCCGGTCCATGGACCAGCACCAGTCTGCAGCATGCCAGAAACCAGTCCGCACAAACAAGCGAAGCCCTATCTGCGGGATGCAGGCTGTACATGAAACCATGCCCCCTCTGGTCCGTGGAAAAAACTCTCTTCATTGAACCAGTCCCTGATGCCCCAAAGATTAGGGACCTCTGCTCTACATCAGTATCTGAACAACTATGTAAAAAAGCAGCCATTGCCACTCAAACACAGAAGCACTTGTTTAAATTCAATTAGCCATTGCCTCTCCTCATAAAATAGTCCTCAAACTCACTCCAGTCCTACCAATATAATTGTGATTTTGCTTAACCAGGCAATAGGTTGCAAAAACTTTAAGAGATAGCTTTAGATTGAGCTGCCCGTGTGTACACAAAGTACAAACTATCTACCATTATATCTTCTGGCATAAATTTTTAAAATATAGAATTTTTCAAAATAACAATCTTTATAAAATTTAGTCAGGGACAACATACCGATGTCTCAAATTACTGACCCTGATTTTTCTTCAATAGACAAGATTGACTATAATACTGTAGATCAAAAATCAATATTTCCAAGACCAATCTAATCTTTCATAGAAAGCAGCATTAATGTTCGCAATATTGCTGTACGTTATTACAGGCAGTCCTTGCTTACCAATGATAGTTGAGATGGGGAACTCCATTGCTAAGCGACATGGTTGGAAAAGGCAGTTCAAGCATTCTCATTTGCTGTTGTTAGGTGAATCCCACATGGTTGCGGCATTGTGGGGTCACCATTTGCAATGTCCTGCCAGCTTCCCCATTAACTTGACTTCTCAGAAGCTGGCACTAAAGATCACAAACGGTGATCATGTGACTGCAGAATATTGGAATGTTGTGATTGTAAGCAGTTACTAAGCACCTGAATCAAGGTCACATGACTATGGGGACCCTGCAATGGCCGCAACTATAAAGACCAGTCGTAAGTCTCTCTTGTTCAAACAGTTGCTGAATGGTTATTAAATGAGAACATGTACAATCAACTGATTATTAATTTAGTGTATGGCATATCATACATGGACTTGCAATATATATTAACATTTCACTTAGATTAAAAAAACCACAATAAAATAAGAATGTCAACTGATATTATATTTCTATACTGAAATTTCTTAATGAAAAATTCTTGATTACTTTGTACAATTCTTAATGGAAGTGTGTGTGTGGAGATATATATACCTACACACACACACACACTTCTTATTCTAAAAGTACTTTTTGTCCCAAATTCTCATTCAAATCCAACTCAGCAAAGCATTCCGATGAATAGTTTGGTATTTCAACTATATTGCAATTTTCCTTAACAAAGTATCACAAAACGTACAATAAGAAGCAGGGAAAACCAGATGCAAATATAGTCAAAAGTTCCACAATTATAAACAAACTACTACATAGCATGAAATAAAAATATATTAATGTTATTATTAGCTCCACAGCAGATTATAAGGAAGAGAAAAAATCTCAGGGGAAAATGGAAATTAATAAAATATTTTCTAGAAGAACGTCTTTCAAGGAATTCTACTTTCAGCAAAACAAACTAAGATATTCAAAACACTGTTCTTGGATTTTGTTCTCCACAGGTAATGGCAATCAATTTATGCTTTGATTTAAATAAAAAAATAAAGAAGTGCAAATATTCATATTAGATATGTTATTTGGCTTTAGCTAGAAATATAACAATAATTTGCACATGCATATTTGGTTTTTCTTAAACTGCAAACTGTGAACCAATTTTTATATTTGCTCATCTACTCTTGCACTTATATGGACATTACATATATATAGTTTTATCACTGTAGCCCATTCCCAAATTTCAGAAAATTAATAACATATTTAAACATCAAGGTTTGCAGACCTGTTTTATCTGAGAATGTACAAAATATTTATATGTATACATGCTATGACATAAAAGAACAGATTTTCTCATAATCATACATCTCAGAAGGGCAGGAGAGACTAATGCATAAGTAACAGATAATGTAAGCTTACATATTCATAGGCGAAGGATCTCAAGTTACTATAGGTAATGCATACATACTCATAAAGGAACTCAAGTTACTAATATAGGTAATGGAGTTCATACTTCCTGTGCCTGTCCTCCTTCAGAAACCAAAAGGGAGGAATAAAGGGGGGGAAAAAATAAAACAGGGAAGAAAACATCTCCCATAAATCAAGAGGAGGTGGCAGTTTGGGGATGTCAGATGCCAAAAGGAAAACATTGTCTATGTACATAAACAAATGCTAAGTAAATCTATGCGATTGTTGTAATAAGATAAAAAGCTGACCTTATATCTCTATATATCATATATATATATATATATAATTAAAAAATTAAATATATTATACATACATATACATATACATATACATATATATACATATATATACATATATATACATATATATACATATACATATACATATACATATACATATACATATACATATACATATACATATACATATATATATATATATATATATATATATATAATTGATTCCACTCATCTAAGAACTGATTTTCCCCACAACAGGCATCTCCTATTGCTGACATCACTGGCCAACAAATTGCGATTTCTTTTATTATTATTTTATTCGAGTATTCGTCTTTGTGTGTATGAAGTATTTCCTTAGATATTCTATTTCGTAAAATAATTCCGACGTTGGGGACTTCATACCTTGATTTATGAGGGGATGTTTGATACTCCACCTCAGCCAGGACATATAACCCTGGAGGGCACATGCTGGGAGCTCCAGTTCAGGCTATCTGGAAAGGGCCAGGAAAAATAAGGCTAAGACGCCTCCTTTAAGACTCCAGTTTAGGATTCTCAGTGCTCACAAAAGGTGCCCGTCCTGTCACACCCCTCAGTGGTCTGGTGTCCCTTTTATATCGGCATGCGTGTTCTTTTTCCCTGGAGGCGGGCCTCCACCGCCATCCCAGTACCTGACGGCCACGAGGATTCGGCTGTCCTCACATCCTGCCGAGCGTAGCCACGATCTCTGACTGCCCCTCCAATGCCCAGCGCCCTCCCAACGCGCGTCTTGCCCACCTGCCCCGCGGCAGAACCCTGTTGAACCCGCGTTTCTCCTCAGCAGCGGCTCGGAAGGAGCTCATTCTCGCTCATTACCTGCCCGGGAGAGAGGGAAGCGGGGCCGACCTGCGGCCCCGAAGGGTCATACCCGCTCTAACGCCCCGGCTAAGTCCAGTTTTCTCCTCAGGCGACTCAATCTCTGTCTTTCCCTCTCCCTCATCCAGGCCCAGCCTGAGTCCAGCATCGGCGCGTAAGCGCGGGGGTTGTCCCACTCGCTAAGGGAGCTTGGGAAATGTAGTGTTCTACTTTTGCGCGTAGTTTGAAGTGTGAGGTTGCACGAGAGAAGATTTCAAGCGCATGTGGGGGGGGGGGAGGAGATGTTTCTCGCCTCACGTATGATATTTGAAAAGATGGGGAACCCACCCATTTATCGCTCTTTAACTGTCATAATTGAATGAAGATGATCTTCAACCAATGAAATTGTTAAGCAAAAGAACAATTAGACTAGAACAGGGGTAGGCAACCTCGGCTCTTTTATGACTCATGGACTTCAACTCCCAGAATTCCTGAGTCAGCTATGCTGACTCAGGAATTCTGGGAGTTGAAGTCCATGAGTCATAAAAGAGCCGAGGTTGCCTACCCCTGGACTAGAACAGTGAATGTTGGACCTTCCCTCTTCCCTTGAGATTTTAAAAGAGGGGGGCGGTAGCCAACTGATTTGTCTAATCTTGTCTAATCTTGTTTTAATAGATTCCTGTGTAGGGTAGGGACTATATTACTTGTAATATCCCTTCCTGTTTAAACATTACAATTGTATACATTTATAGTTTGGGCATTTAATACGGATTAGTCACAGAAAATTAGGCAGTGGATGTGTTGTACAAATATAATGGTTAAGAACTGATGAAGGAGAAGCTGACATTTTAATCCAGTTTAATTTTGTTTTAAGTGAGAGTAGAAACATGGTTGGGGTTTTATTTGTCCTTATTGACAAATCTATAACAATATTATGCATATGTTGCTGTTGAACATGAGCCTAGGCCTTAACCTTTAGCAGCTTTGGATTAATTTTACTAACATCTGGACTGGATGTTATTAACTAGGGTTTTTCAAATTTATTAAGATATTATTATGTAATTATTTTGAGAGATGTATACTTTTAAGCTAGCTGAAAAATAAGCCCCCTTTACTTTTTTTCTGTGATAAATAAGATAGTAGTACCTAACAATAGAGTTCCAAATCAAATAAACTTTGAAATTTGCGTAGCCTATTGAAATGATCGTAGGCCAACAACCATGCCTTGTGGTCTGATGCACAGCTTCTGCCCCCCAAGCTGGCAGCTGAATCATAAAGCTTCCCCCTTGGTGCCTTTAAATCAGGGTTTCTCAACCTTGACAACTTTAAGACTTGTGGACTTCAACTCCCAGAATTCCTCAGCCAGCAGAGCTGGCTGAGGAATTCTGGGAGTTGAAGTCCACAAGTCTTAAAGTTGCCAAGGTTGAGAACCCCTGCTTTAAGAGAACAGTATGTTTTGCAGCACAAGGCTTATGTTTTTCATCAGGGAAAAGGGAAGCTAATAATTCATCTTTTCAATGTGATCTCGGGAAATAGTTTGCCATGGGCTTCTAATACAGACTAGCTGCTATACAGACTAGCGGAGATGTTTTTTAATTTTTCTTTTCTGCAGCACTGATCACAGGTAAAGCACCTATCAGAGAAATTTTTGCAGGCTACAGAAAAGGGGGGAAAAGGACACTGTCGTGAGAAGGGCGGAGCTAGACATGGGGAACGACGTTGTCAAGTCTCTTCATAGTGCAGCGTTGGCTTGCGTCGTCATAGTTACGAGTTCTCCAGCCGCGCTTAGCTATGACGATTATCTCAATGGCCGGATGTGCCTTGCTTCCGGGGGTGAGGCCGTGGAAGATCTTTTAGTTCGGTTTTATAACAAGAGGGAGAAATTTGTCTTGGTGAGGATAGAAGATTTTGTAGTGGTGGTAATGGTGATTGCTGACAGCACTTCCTAGCAGGTGCAAGGGAGTATTTATGTCGCCTGTTTGTACCGCGTGAAATGGGACGAGCAGATGTTGGAAATGGAGGTTATCATAGGGGATGATACGGGAATATAGAAGGCAGTTTTAAATATCAAAAATATTCTCTCATGTATGACCTTGTTTTAATAACTAGAGCAACCCTGAAAGGTAGACTAGACTCTTCAATTAAGATAAAAAGAGCTAGTAAAGAGAGGTATAAAACTGCGTATCATAGATTCGACTTGTGGCTTTCTCTCTTTTGCCCATTTAATTCGGAATAACGAGTTAAGCTGAATTCGAGGACATCCAAATAAATGACTTCCCACTGCCTATAGTTAAACTAAAGAAATCTCCATAGGCTGCAATAATATTAAATATGATATTAAAAATGAATAAGAGTTGTAGGAAAGGAGACTGTCAATGGTAAAATGCTGGTCCAGCATCTTTATTCTGAGGGTGGTCGGGATTTTTAGGTAGGGGTTATTTCTTTTATATGGTGCTTGTGGATGTCCATTGGCTGCTAGAAATAGGCTTTGGTCTAGTTCTACCCTTGTAGGCTAAACAAGGTTGCTGAGAACAAGGAGAGAAATATTAATGTATTGAAAAGTTAATTATATCTTCCAGAGTATTAAAATATAGAACGGAGTGAACTGAGTGTATTTTATAATTACGTGGTAACTATGGATTTTTCTTTGAATTTGCAGGATATTTTATGCAATAATTTTATATAGATGTATTTTAAAATTGTTTTGGCTTTGCTAGCTACTGCTGAGGTTCTAACAAAATTTTATGCTGATCAGTGTCTTTTATCTGAGGTTTTCACCATTTTTCTACAGGATGTTTTGCACCTATTTTCTAACATGGAATAGGAAAGTAGAGTATATTGAGAGATATTGACATAGGTTCTACTCTAGTTACCATAGTAAATAGGACAGGTTTTATTCTGTCCCTATTCATGTGTACTTATTTTCCCATAGATTAAAATGTGAACCTTAACAAATTATCTGTAATGGTAACATTACTTCATCTGAAAAACTAAACTTTAACTGATATTCTGATCAAGAGTTTGCTTAGAATGGTATCACAGGTTTGGCAGGACTATTGATTTTATTAGAGGCTGCAATCATATGCTGCATGAAGCTATAATGTGGTTTATTTGGTTTTGTATTGGCATATGTGAACTTTGCTTATTGTGATTTATTAAATAAACAATGGTTAACTACTATAGCATTGCATGTGTAAAATTGTCATAGGTAACAAAGTAAAAGTTTCACCAGTGACAGATGCAGTTTCTGAAAATAATTCTAAATACCTACTGTATCAAGTAGTACTTAAGCATAGTACTTAATTATGTGTGATAATTTAGAATGGAATCTGCTGGGACAAAATTTGACATCTCTTGGTTCCCTACACTCTTTCCCAGTTTTCTTTTTCACATTCACTACTTTTGTGATGCCAGGTGCTGAGATCAAGTTTCTTTTTTCGGTACAGATCCAGTTGCATGGCCTTAGAGACAGCAGTTACACAGAGAATGGGTCCAGAGAGGATCTGTCCAAATGAGCATGAGGAGCTGGGGCTTCAAGAATCATCTGATGGAATTCTTGATCCTGTTGGCGAATGGAGTAGTGAAGAACCAGAGGAAGAGGAGGAAGAGGGTATCAATAATGGCTATGTGTATCAGCCACTGAACCAAGAACCGGACCAGGGACCAACAACACATGAATTAACAGCAACGAACACAGAGCCAGCCCTTGACATCAATCAGCGACTTCAGGTGGCAGTTTTGTTTCAAACACACTATATGGGAGTAATGCTACCAGGAGAAAATTAATGCATGTATCTTTACATTTTGATTGATTTTAATGGCCCTGTGTATCATGCAGGCAATGAGACTACATCTGCCTGACCCACCTATTGAAAGTGATAATGAAGAAGAGGAGAGACTTGTAGCTCAAAGCAGTCACAACTCAATACCCATGGATCCAGGTAATATAACAAAACTTCCAACTTTGTGAGCTGATAAGATTGTATAGGGATATTTCTAACTTTATTTAAGACATTTGATGCAGATAGTCTGCCACATTATACTATTTTATCTCTATGCATATAAAAAGCTGCAGTTTTTACTTCATCAGTATCACCTACCAGTTTTTCCTCTCCAGCCAAGAGGAACTCCGTCTCTACAATTCTCTAAATTAAATTTAGACATTCTTACTTAATCCTGCAGTGTTGGTATGTTTGCATGTAGATTTACATTTCACAGTAAGCTATAGTGTGATTTTAGTTTAGGATGGTCTAAAAACTCTGCCATGTGCTTTGTAGGACTGTCTGTTAATATAGTTAATTGTAGTTGTCCAGTACTAAAAATAAACTATGCCGTATTCATATACGTGAAGCTACTATCCAGTGTATATCCCATCTACTTTTGTGGTGGCTTGCCATCTATTATTTGTTTGATTTGGAAACAAAACTACAGGCATAATGGCCTATGGAAACCATAGCCATTAACAGGATAAGAATTCCTTTCCCTTGCCTTGAAGTCAGCCACGGAATAGGATTGTATATCATCCTAACCCAACTATAATATGGGATTTAACGTAAGCGAATTGTCTTGTATGCTATTATGTCACTTCATCTCCAGCTGTTCAAATCCTTTAGCAATTACCTGATTATTGTAACTAGCAGAATAGTGTTTTCATAACAGCATGCAAACAACAGGCTGCTTATTCGTGTTATATAACTATTTTGATCTTTTAAGATCACTGGCCCTCCAGTTCTTCATACTAGTTTATTTATCTTAAATGACAGAATTTTAAACTGAAGAACATTCCACTCAGGATGATGTGGGGTTTTTTTGAGACATATATGTTTGATGCATAGTAAAATAATTAAAAAAAACCTTTTGTTTGCTTGACAGTGTGGGTGATTTACTCCTTTATCTATTTAGATTGACACAACATGAACAATCTCCAGGACAGTCATACTTGGGGATTATTTCTCATCCTCTGCCTTTATTTTTTATTCTAGAACATGTGGAATTAGTGAAAAGGACCATGGCTGGAATCAAGCTGCCTATACTGAGCATTCCTGCATGGGCCAATGAGATATCAGATGAGCAGTGGCAGAATATGGTGCAACGAACACTGCAAGACAGACAAAGTCAGAATGGCTTCAAGCCTGAATGGAAATGAAGAGCCCCAGTGAGCTTCTTGCCTGCAAAGAAAACAGCTTAACTGGATCTAATCTATTTTAAACTATCTTTCTCTAAAGTGGTTAGGTAGTTATTTCATCTTTCTTCAGCTCCGAACCTATCAATTCATCTGGTAAAACTGAAAATAATTCATCAGTTGTCTGTAATACTTAGTTGTAAATGCTTAGTGGTGGTGAATATGAGGCTGTTTTCTTAATCCCGAGAAGAAGAAAGCCTTTTGGATATGTGTTTAGTCTGTTCTTTCTCCTCTTCCCCACTATCTATTGTGACACATGGGCTAAAGAGCTAAACGTGGCCATGAGGTGCAGTCCAGTGTATCATCTTTTCAAGAGATCCATTTTATTTAGTTCTGTACATACAGGGACATCTGTACAAAATCCAACACTGTCATACTATGTAATACTCTACTGAAAATAAAGTACACCATATGTACATAATGAATTGTAAAGCAGCTTAATACTTGTGTCCAGGGAGTGAATGCATCATTTAGTTGCTTTCCCCGTCCCTCGTGGGAAGGGCTGTATAAGACACAAAAGAGGCAGCTCCTTCCCTATCCATGTAAAAGTAAGGGAAGGTAAAAGCTGAAATAGGGACAAACGCAAGGGTTTTAAGTAGAGCTAGATTAAGGTAGAGCATAACTGGAAGTTGTGTAGCTGAGGTGCTCATTTGGCTTGAAGTGTGATTTTTTTTTTAACCTCTTTACATACAGCTTCTCTGATAGATATATAGGACACTCAAATGAATTGGCAGCAAACTAAATTTTAATATTAGGTCCCAAACACAAGTTCCCTGATCCCAAAGAAAGATTAGACAAAGCCTATATTTACATCTAAGTGTACAGCATATGATGCTCAATTACAGCCCTGCTTCACCTATGCAAAACTGTAACAGGCATAGAAGTGCTGTGTAGCATACATACGGGTAATGAAGGATAATTTCGTATGGTCCTTCTCATTTACAGAGCCCAACCTTGAAAGGAATAGATAAGCAGACAACCACATCTTGGTGTTAAGGAGCTCCAAGTTTTCTTTTGTTCCTCCCACAGCTAAACCACACTTTGAAAAACCAGTGGCTGAATGTGCAAGCTACTAAGTGAAGCCTCGTTTTTGTTTGATTCTGTCACTGAACCATCAGGGACATCTCGCAAATCAGTTATAAGTTCCTGTTTAACTTTCTTCCACATATGCTTCAACTGGTACCTTGCAAGAGGATTAAAAGACGTTCCTATTAGTATGAGAAACTACAGCCAGACAGAGCATCTTGAACAACAGATATTGAAAGTATTTTGACAGCAGACAATGGAAGTTAGCATCATCATATATTCTAACGTCAGTCTCAAAAGTGCCTGTCCTCATGTAGTTAAAATACTACCATGCACAAAATAAGGGTTGTCAAAGTAATAATGTTCCAGGGGAGGGGAAAAAAGCTTGTGAGAACTCCAGAAATAGGCCAGTGAAGCTTGGGCATGCTTAATGATCACGGAATGCTGATGGACTGTTAGTAAGGGGACAAAAATGGTGGAAAAATGAAGAATTCCACAGAGAAGAATACTGAAGAGGAATGTATCAGACTGAAATTTGTTTGGCTTGAATTATGGGTAAGCCCAGGCACTGTGATTTATTCAATAATCCATGGTTTAAAAGAATAGCATGATATAGGTACCCAGCCTGTGGCTTGAGTATCAGTATGGAAAATTGGCAAACGTTAACTTTTTTTTAATTTCAGTTTTTTAAGAGTTAAAAGATATCTCTGAAGAGGTAAAATCGGTGAATATTGAAATGAAATATCCTACAAATAAACTTCAATCAAGTCATTAAAGATACAGTGGAAACAGAAAGGTATAAGTAAGTAGACGAGACAAAATTACATCACAAACATGGAGATTTAAACAAGAACATGAAAAAAAGCCTCACAGTCCGATTCAAAATCATTACTTTTCTGATATTCCACTGCTTCCCAATAATGGGGCCTCTAAATGAGCAATAAATTTCACTAGAAACAATTTTTCTAAAGGTAGAGCACAAGATCTTTAACCAAAGGATAGCGAAGGCTTCCCCTTGTGCGATTTCCATGATCCAAATTTAGACAGCAGCTTTTCAACTATGAGAAGCTATTAAATAAATGTAACTATTATATTCTGGTTACCCATACTTAAAAGAAATCTGAATACTTCAAATTTATATATTCCCTAAAGTGAATTTCTGCTACTTCTTGATGTCGGGTTTTTTGAACTGACGAATGGGGCTAGAACAGCTGGAATACATATAAACACTGAAAACAAAACCATGCTAGCCGAGAGACTGGGAGTAGAAATTTAGCAACAGGGAGAGGAGTTAACTAGGAAAGACTAGCTCAGTTGATAAATTGGAAATTGGAGTTTCCTGCATTATTTATTTAATTTTGCCTATGATTCTCAATATGCAAAATGCATAAAGCTATCTAAGATTTGCCAGAGCCTAAAACCCAACAGCTGAAAGGAAAGTTGACATTAGTAGAGAATGTGCTTAACAGCTACTCTCCCTCCAGTTCTAACAAAGATAGGCAGAAAGCAAGACTCAAATAACACATTCATGCAGCAGCTGCACAATAGCTGCCAGGCACATAGATCAACTGCAAGCCTCTATTTGGAAGGTGAAACTCATTGAAAGCATTATCTAAATCACTGGATTTGGAATTATGCATGGCTGGTAATGCAAACACAATTTCAGGGAGGGGGATGTACATTATCACCCTTACTCATAATGACCAAACGCAGCTGCAGTCTCCATCAGATTAGCTATTTATTCTAAGTCTTATGGGAGGGATATATCACATTATTCCCAAGAGAAAATTGCCTATACTGACCTGTTTAGTCAATAGAACATAAAAATTACATTATGCAGACCACATAGTTGTGTGATAGGTGGAAAGAGGACATCAATCAAGGGCTCTGGATGACTGATAAACATAAAATTCCCAATGCCTTGGTCCTGGGACTGCAGAATTATTTTTTTTTACAAATTCAGGAACTTAGGATGTTCCTTGCAATGGAATGATATTCTCACAGGTTCCTAGGCTCCCATCACACGTGCACACAAAACACAGCCTTAAAAATATTTAAAGCAGGAGTAAGTGAAAGTGTGGTGGGATATGAGGTACAATGTAAAATCAAATTGAACCTGAAAGAATGAGAATGGAGTGGAGGACAGGCACAGGTCACCATGTTCATTCCCTAGCTATATGTTAGAACAAAGTGCATTTCTGTGTACCCTCCAGGGTCCCCCTAGCCCGTCAGAGTGCCTCCTGGCTTGAGGTGAGAAATTCTTCTGCTCTCTTGTGTGCTTCCAAAGCCTTTATGGTGTAGACATCCTGAGGAAGCTCTGATTTCCGACGGAGCAAAACCTTCTCCTTCTTTATATCTTTCAACATCTAAACACAAACAAATAGCAAATAATTAGAGATAGTTTTTAGGATCTGCAAATTTCTCCCAAGAGCTAACTTGCTCTCTTCTCTTTGGTATTATATATAGTTTGCTAAATCATGGCCAAGTTGGGTTTAACAAGGCCCATCTCTCAAGTCCATAGAGTATCTATTTGCCCACTGTACCCAATCTCTGTTTTCAGGTGATTACATAGACAGATGCCACTAAATCTATGATGGCACTAAATTCTACAACTCTTAAAATAAAAATCAATGTAGAAATTACTAAGCAAGTAGGACAGGACAGTCTGATTTTTCATATGATACTGGATTTAAAACCTCTCAACTTTAGCAACAGTTATCAGAGATGATGGGAAACTATGTTCTAGCAATTTTTGGAAGGCCACCAATTAAATCCTTGACTAAGATATTTAGCTATTTCGTTTTCCTTTAAGGCACCAGCCTTCAATTAATAATAATCAGGCACAATGTCACACAAACAAGATAACAACACAAGTACCACAGTCTGAAGTTAAGTATTAACAAAGTGTGCAGCAAGCTAATAATTGAAGTAGGTAAGCTGAGTCAATGATTATACAGTACATCAATACACACACACTACAATGATAATGAAGTTCAACATGAAATAAACAATCTAGACAAGGCTCTAGTTTTACAAATCAGCAACATGGAAACTAAGAAGCAAGCAGAAATACCAGTCAGAGGATCTTGATACAATAATTTAAATACAACCACATATTGTGTGTCTGTTTTAACTTATCTTTTATAAAATAGGACCACTGAGGCTCCAAAATATATGTCATAGGAAACAAAGGGAACTCTGCCTCTGACTCATATTATTAGAGATAGCTGTTTTTGAACTCTACTTCTGTGGCATATCTTAAGTTTATTTTATCTCACTGTTATCTATTTCATTGCATTTCACTGTATCTTATTTAATTGTATCTTAGTGGGCTGATATTCATGCTTTGATATGATCGATTGACTAATCAATAAAGTATACTATTTCATCTGTGAGCAAACAATTTTTTAAAACTATTTCCTGACAGGGAAGGTATGATACAAACTCTTTCAAACAGCTTTCAAAGTTGGTATTACAAATTCACATAGGAGAAAAATAGCTGACAGTATGCTAACGAGAGGCAAAATTAAAAGGAAACAGAGGAAGTACAAAAAGTAGCAAAGGAATAAAAGGTTATACTCTCCTGTATGAAATATAGCCAAGTGTAATTATGACTAACTTGAAATGTATCAACACTGGAGTTGTGTCACAGACCTACATAATTCAAGGAGCATCACCACGAGGAAGGAGAATTACTTTTGTTAAAATGTTAAGTATGTAACTTAACCATCCCAAATGCTATGAGATTTCCTTTATGCCTCCTCTTGAACTATTGATTTTGTCCTTTCATGCAAAATGAAATTAACTTATAAAATAGTCAGTGTTACAGTTACCCATAGGTACTTATTTAGTCCTAGGTGCATCCAAGTGACTGTTAGCTCATTTCATAGTTACTAGAATAATTATATATTTGTTTGCAAAAAGCCATGTAAAACAAACAAACCAGTAAAAAGAGTGCAGGTAGAGGAATGAACTGAAAAGGTTTTGTGACTTGGTGTTTTGTTTTTGGAACTCAGTAACTGTGGATTAGTTTATAAACCTGCAGTAGTCAGAAATACACCCAGTATGATGTTTTAAAAACCACTGTCCTAGGCCATTTGAGAATTAAGGATTATTTTCCACCATTCTGCCTTTCCACAGAGAAGTCATGTGCCAATCATTTATGACTAACTTGCTTTTGAGCCAAGTAAGGGTGTGTCAAAATTTGCTTGCTTGCTTGCTTGCTTGCTTAAAAGAGAAACTAGTTACCAGGAACTACATGCTACAGAAAGACTCTGGATCAACTGAGTTTACATAATTAAATCACCTGTACAGCCTCTGTTTCCATCGTTTTCTTCAGTAGCTGTATGTCCTCTGTTGTGGGGGTCTCCGTCTCCATGCAATAAATTGGAGGCAAAGGTGGGGGTGCGCAATACATGGGGTACTGCAGGAACATAGCACACAGAAAAATGGGAATGCAAGCTCAGCAACTCAAGTACTAGAACATCAAATGTTTACACATATACACAGATCCAAAAAAGAAAAAAAAAGGATATATTGTGAATGTTTTCAATTACAATTCATGATCCCTTTTGCGAAACAGATTTGGGGATATAAAAGTTACTGAAAACTTTCATTCTTAATTCAGATATCCCCTTACACTAAAGGGGATTGATTCATTCTTTTGTTGCACTGGTGAAAATCCCAATTAAACAAAATAATGATAAGTGTCAAGACGTAAGATCCAACCGTAACAAAAAGCTAACAATGCAATTGTTGTTATGCAGCTATTACCTATTCAAAACTTGTATTTTATTCAATATTCAAAGTATGAATTTCTACATGAATTAACACTGGGGGATGGATTATATTTCACATAAAGTGGTCAAATGATATAGGAGTAATACTATAATATTATTCTTGAAACAATTTTATGTCTGTTAAAATTAAGTTGGATTATGAAAAATGTTTTTAAACAGGTTCATTTGAAATAGCTATATATAAGGTTTTCCTATAAAGATAGCTATTCTTGTCTTTCAAGTAATGGACAGAGAAGTGTCATCTATTGTGTTTCCCTGAAAATAAGACCTATGCCAAAAATAAACCCTAACTTGGTTTTTTACACGTGCGCCTAATATAAGCCCTTCCCCCAAAATAAGCCCTATTTTGGGGCAAGGCACCTGGGTAAAAATCAGGCGAGGGTGGGGGGGTTGAGCTGTCTCATGCGCCCCACACTCACTTACCTTACGACCGCTGGCAGGCCTCACATACCCTGACACCTGTTGCGCCACTGCCTGAGTTCTTCTGTGGCTGCTTGCAGCCGCACACCACGTCGTGCATCGCATCCTGCTGCTGCTGCCACTCGCGGTAGGCTGCTTGGCACATCGCGCCAGGGCCACCGCTCGAGTGTGCCACGACACAACAAGCCACACAGCCTCCTGCCATGGACAGCGGTGTGATTGGCGTGACAAGCCACAAGGCCTCCTGCTGCAAGGGGTGGAAGCGGCGCGATGAGCCACGTGGCCTCCTGCCATGAGTGACAGCAGCGCAATCAGAATGTCAAGCCACACAGCCTCCTAGTGTGAGTGGTGGCAGTGGTGCGATGTGGCATTTGGCCGCAGAAGAACTCAGGCAGCGGCACAACAGGTGTCGGGGCCTGGGAGGTCTATGTTGTGGTCCATCTGCTTCCAGCAGACCTAGTAGCAGAGTGAGACGAGGAGAAGGAGGGGGAGGGGGAGCCCGAGTCAACTTCAGAGCCCTTGGAAGACTCTGATGAGGAAGCAAAATCAGAGGCAGATGCCTCTGTCCGTGCCCAGGGCGTATGCATAGAGAGAAGAGGAGAGTAACGGAAGGCAATAAGCCGGCTCTCAGGGGAAAGAAGACATAGATGCTAGCCACCCCTCCCTGGCTGGGAAATAAATAGTAGGGGTTTGGGAGTGACCTGTTGTCACAGGCAACCATTCATTTTCCAGGATACATCAATCAAATCAGATTCCTTTGCCAAAACCAGGTTTATCAGGACTACTTGCTCTGTATTTGAGGTGCCAACTGAGTCTCCCTGCTAGGAACTAATAGGTAGTGAATTTTCCTCAGCCAGTGTGAACAGGGACTGTTTCTGCTTGGCTTAATCCTTGAAAGACTTTCTATCTGGACTTCTCAAGTGAAAAGAGACTGTTCTTGCCCTGTGTCAGAAGGGGAAAAGACATTCCTTTGTGACTACTTCTTTTTGGTTTTGTCTACCCAATGTGAACAAAGATTGTTCCTGCCTTGTTTTAATAAAAGAGGTTTGTTTTACTTGCGAATGGTTTCTCATTACTTTTGAAGGCTGGGTTAGAACAGCCTGGCTGCAGCAGTCCTAAGGTAAGCGGGTAAGAGTAGTGCAAATGGGTGTGGAGCCTTCTTGGAACTGTTGAACTGTTGAAAGGATTGTGTTGCAGACTGAAGATACATGATGTCGTATCCATCCCCCTCTGTTGAGAGAGGGCTGTTCAATTTTGACATAGATGGCCTCTTTGACCCCTCTTTCAAATCAGCGGTCCTCTCTGTCCAAAATTTGGACTTTGCTGTCTTCCAAAAAGTGGCCTTTGTCTTTTGAATGCAGATGGACTGCTGAATCTTGTCCTGGCATATGTTGTGCCATGCATTTATGAAGTGGTAGTTTTGTTTCTCCAATGTACTGATCTGCACATGTCTCACTGCATTGTATTGTATATACCATGTTGTTCAGTTTGTGTCTGGATTTTTTATCCTTGGGGTGGACAAGCTTCTGCCTTAGTATATTTGTGGGTTTGAAGTGTGCACCTATGTTATGTTGGCTGAAGATTCTCCTGAGCTGTTGCGATATTCCTGCAACGTATGGAATGACTATGTTGCTTCGTTTATTGTCTTCTTGTTTGTCCGTTATGGAGGAGCTCCTGCTGGGTCTTTTGGAGGGGGGTGTTAATGAAAGCCCACTTGGGATAGCTACAAGTTCTAAGGGCTTCCTTGATATGTTTTAGTTCTTTTTCTTTCCCATCTTTGCTGGTAAGCAGGCCTTCAGCTCAGTGGTGTAGGATTCTGATAACTCCCATTTTGTGTTCCAGTGGATTGTGAGAATCAAAATGCAAATATTGAACTCTGTGTGGGGGTTTTCTGTAAACTTCAGTGTTAAGGTGAACCCATGGTGCAGCCTGTCACCTTAGGTGACAGAACCAACTTCAGCCCAGATCACATATGTGCCATGCTGGACCTCTGCCTGACCACTAGCTATTTTAAATACAGTGAAGGTTTCTACAGACAAAAACATGGCTGCCCCATGGGTTCACCTGTGTTCCCCATTGTGGCCAATCTCTGCATGGAAGAAATAGAAACCAAAGCCCTATATTCCTTCACAAGAATTCTACCCACTCACTGGTATAGGTATGTGGACGATACTTGGGTCACGATCAAAACACAGGAAATGGAAGCATTCACCAAACATATCAACTCGGTGGACAGATACATCAAATTCACAAGTGAAGATGATAAGGAAAATAGTCTAGCTTTCCTGGATTGTGCAGTACACATTAAGAAAGACAGAAGCCTTAACACTGAAGTTTACAGAAACCCCCTCCCCCCCACACACACACATCAATATTTACATTTTTATTCTCACCACCCACTGGAACACAAATACACTAAGCTTGTCCACCCCAAGGATAAAACACCCAGACAAAAACTGGTACATGCAGTACAATGCAGTGAGCCATTTGTAGATCTGTACACTGCAGAAACAAAACAATCACTGCATAAACACATGGCACAACATAGGAGAACAAATCCATCAGGACAAGATTCAGCAGTTCATCTGCATTTAAAAGATAAAGGCCACTCTTTCGAAGATAGCAAAGTCCACATTTTGTACAGAAAGGACCGCTGGTTTGAAAGAGGGGTCAAAGAGACTATCTATGTCAAAATTGAACAGCCCTCTCTCAACAGAGGGGGAGGGGTACTACATCATGTATCTTCAGTCTACAACACAATCTTTTCAACAGTTCCAAGAAGGCTCCACACCCATTTGCACTACTCGGATGACCCTGACAACATAGATAAACCTCCAGGTGGCATCAATGACTCTCTAAAAGAATGCATATGAGCAGCTGCCTGCAAGGAGTATAAATCATTCTGTTCCCCAACTATTCAGTCAGAGCTGAAGAAGCTTCTTGGATGAGAAGCAAAACGTCTTCAAAGAAAAAACAAGAAAGTCCAGTTGCCTGTGAAAAAGCATCTTTGGGATAACTACGACCTGGATGACTGAGAATCTCCATAGACATTGATGTAGTAACTTACCAAACTTATGAAACACTCATCTAGTGCCAGACTAAGTGAATAAACAAAGCTATGATAGGTACTTGGGTCGCCCAGAAAAACTAGAGTAGTTTAGTTTGTTTTGGAAGCTGCTTAGATGCATGATTATCAGTTCCAAAATACCATCAGATAAAGCACACATGATCACTATTAACACCATTTGGTGCTTATACTTCTGTTTTATACGTGGCAAACAAAAGCTGATAGTAACATTTATTGCACCACACACTAAAGGCACAGTCAGATTTAAACACAGGCTTTAGTTCAGCATTGCCCCTGAAAAGATTTTCTGTATGATAAGAGTGTTTGGTAGTATTACCTAAAAATAGAGGAAAGTGAGGGTATTTTGAAATCTTTTATCTGATTACCATAATCATTACCTGAGGATTCTGCCGAGCTAACTCCTCAATCTTGTGCCACATCTCTTCTCTTTCCTTCAATCTGAACCGCCCTCTGAAGATGGAAAGAAATTTACTTTTTTGTATTAAAACTTCTTTATCCTTTCTTTAGAGGTCAGACCATGTTACACCATTCTAAATACAAAGCCCGAAAGGCATTAGAATATCCCGTGCTACATTGATTCAATTTTAAATACCACTTTCCCTCCCTTTTCCCTCCCTCACTTATAACTAACTTAGAAAAATGTAAAATCCTTCCCAAGTGTGTCATAAAGCTAACACCTTTTCTACTTTCACCCAGGTTTCAGAGTGGCCACAAATCCATCCTCCCCCCAAAAAGCTGTTCACTCATTTCACCCAATCCTATTAACTCAATTCTTCAGCAGGTAAGAGACATTAACCCCCATCTCTCCTCATCTTTGGGTTACCCTCTTGGAGGAACTTCTTATCCCAGATTTCAAAAAAACTCACAGATCAAATGCGCATTTAGATATAGTAGTGTTATGGAACTGAGCAGGCCAAAGACCATGAAGCTACTAAATCCAGAAATTTAAATGGAAATTTACTTGGAAGTAAAAAATTAGCTTTAAAAACTTACACTATAATGAATATAAACTTCTAAACTGTTTTAAAGTGCTGCTGACTGAACATTGTTATATTTCTTATTCCCAAGAAGCTTTCACAGATTTGCAGTTTAAGCTTCTCAATATGGGCAGTACTCAGAAGAAGGGCTGCACAGAATTGCTTGCTTGCTACCTATTGATGACATTATAATACTGGTATACATTTCCAGTCTGCAAAGTGAAGCATCCATTCTTTCCTTATTCCTCTTACTCGCGTTGAGGAACTCTGCCCAAACATGCAGAATATGAAGCAGCAATGAAAACTGGCATACTTTATGTGTGTAAGATTTCCCTGTGAGGAAAGCCACCATGGGATACATCCTAGGTGACTTGGAAAGCAGGTAATATTCAGATTGACTTCATACAATTTCCAGCTTGTTCTTATACGTAGGTCATCAAGGTAATACTACAATATGATTTAAACTGACAAATTAGATTCATAGAATGTAGAAGTTCAAAGTAATCTTTGAGATTATCTAGTTCAACTCCATCTCTTGTGAATATATCTGCTACCATACCATCTCCAACAAATGGCCATCAGGTTTTTGTTTAGTACTTCCAATGATGTCTACTGCCTCACAAGGCATCAATTTTACTGCTGAAGAGCTGTTACCACGAAGGAATTTTCCTGATGTTCAACTGACATCAGGAAATGTTATGCCCAGAGTCACCTTGTGGAGATGGGTGGAATAGAAATTAAATAAATAAATAACTGTAATCTGCTACCTTGTAACTTAAGATCATTCTTTCTTGACTTAACTTCTAGAATATATTAAAGAAGTCTACCCAACCTCTCCATGGTAGCTCTTCAGATATTGTTTCCTCACAATTTTTTCTCTTGCAGTCCCTTATCATCTTGGCTGTTTGCTCTTGCCACATTTCAATGTATCAATGTCCTTCCCTAAAATGTGGTATTCCCAACTAAATGAACTATTCTAAATGTGGCTTCTGACCAACAAAAAACAATTAGTTTTGAATCCTAACATTGTTCTCTATAAAGTATTTGCTGTCCTTTTAGCATTGTGTTATCCACATATTTGATCCAAGTCATTTATAAAACACTGAATCATATAAAGTCTAGAAAAAAGCCCTTCAGTTTACTACTCAATGTTTCCTTCCAATGTGCAGAGACCCAGAGGCTTCTCACTGAGTATGATTATTCAACCATTTTTGTATCCACACAATAACAGCCTGGTCCTGTCCGTATTTGGCTATTTTCTCTACTAGTATTCATGAGAGACCCTGAAGCCAAAATACACTGTGTCCACTTCATTCTTATGGTCTACTAAATTAGTCACCAGGAGGGCATTACTTGTTCTTGGTAAATCCATAGTGGCTACAGCAAAACAATAACTTTTTTGCCAAATGCAAACTATAAATTATTCTAGAATTTGCCAGATAATAATGACCAACTAATTGGTTAATAGATATGTCCTCTTTGTCCTTCTCCAATCCACTGGCACTGTACTTATTCTATATGATGTCTCAAAGATCACAAAAAGGACTTACAAGATAACATCCACCAGCTCTTTAAGACTCTTATGCGGAATTAATCGGGCTCTGAAAACAAATTCATGTTAGTCAGGTGCTCCCTAACTATCTCTACTTACCTTGAGTTGCCACTCCCTTCTTGTGTCAACTGTTCTGCTTAGGTCCATTTGAACACAGTTCCCCTTTGAGAAAAAGACCAAAGCAAAGGAGGAATTGAGGAGCTCTGCCCTCTCCCCATAGTTTGTTACCATCCTGCTATCTTATCCAAGCAGCGGGCCCACCCTTTCCTTTTTCTACTGACATAGCCAAAAAAGTTATGTTGTTACTTGCAACTTGCAAATCTAAGTTCCTTTGAGTTTTAGCCTTTCTGTAAACATTAGCAACTTGCTGATGTGTTCTCTTGGTCCTCTGCCAGTCTTGTAAGGTAGTTCAGACAGGAAGCACACCCAGATGAACAAATTCTACTTTATTGTAAGGTTACAGTAACAGAATCTTGCAAGTTAAATACGTTTCTCCCATTGCCTTGACAGCTCAAGAAACTAGAAAGGGACTCTTCTGAAACTTTTATCACGCCCACATTCCTTCTGCATCTTATCCAACTGTCCCTCTGACTGTGGCTTTTCCCCTTCTCCCAAGGCCATTCTCACATACGGTATCTTCATTCTTATATCTATATTTTATTTCCTAAAACTGTCCCTCTTAACTTTTGGTTCAACCAAAATCTCCCTATACATCAACATGCTTTGTCTCAGTATAATAGCATACAGTATAATAGCTATATTTTAGCATTTTCTTTTTGAGACATCCCAAACATTCCTTTTGCCTGCCTAATAATTCTCCAAGATTAATGAAACTGGCTGAAATTAAGATGGTTTGTTACTTCCTCCTGAGGAGAAGTAGAGGTCCCACTGCTTTCATCTCTTCAACCAGGTTTTGCTATTGGCTAGGCTCTGAACTAGGAGAGATCTCTCTATTTCTTCAACCTTCTGGAAAATGAAAGTGTCAGCAAGACCACTGAGAAAATATTGGGATATCACAATTCTGCCCGAGCTGGTTTTTCAACTTATCTGAGCAGTTTCCTATTATTACCTCTTCCCTGAAAGCAGTAATATGGCTCATCTGGTTTGGTGATCTACTACAGCACATTCCAACAAACGCTGCTTCATTTTCTCTTCTTTATCAGTACCCCTGATTGGCCTCCATGCTCATTTTGGAGGGATCTCTACATACGTGTGAACTTTTTTTATATATATAATGTCACTTTTCCCCTTGTGTGGCTTATTTCTCCCAATCCACATATTCTGCTCGTAGCACTAGGTTTCAGTAATACCTAGTAAATATTTGTTTCCCTATGTTAACACTTCTAGTTCTTTCTGTTGTTCCCCATTCACTCTGTTAATTTGTGTAGAGACTCTGGAAACCTTGGGTTATATCCTTAAACTTATTTTTTACTGTATTTATGCTCTCATTATTGGATGCCTTCACAATGAGGATACACCTCTGTTTCATTCCCAGTACTTGGTATCAAAACTATTTCTGGGGTCCCCACAGAATTCAGTTTAAATGTTGATCAAGTTTATAAGATATCTTACAAATACGTTCTTCCCAGCTCTGATGAAGCATAGCCCATCTCACAGCAGAAATCTACCCTATAATCAAAAAATCCCAAGCATTCCTGTTGAAACCATCTGCAGATCCTGTTTCCAAAATTCTTCTTTCTTCCAGAGCCATTTCCTTTGATAGGAAGGAGTGAAGAAAACACCATCTGTGACTCCAGCTCCTTTATTCTCCTGCTTGTTCACAGGATCTGGCTGTGTCATTTTTCCCACAGAAAGGATCTTGGAAGTCTTTCCATACTATGCCAAATATGAACCCCAGGAAGGTACTCATCTCTTGACAGACTACTGGACTACTGTTTTGGTCCCTCTTAGCAAGGAGTCACTAGTCCTCCTCCTCCTCCTCCTCCTCCTCCTCCTCCTCCTCCTCCTCTCCCTCCCCACTTCTTCAAGGCAGAGACAGGAATCCTTCCATTTGAAGGGCCTATAAAATCCTTTTCCTTTCTCTGTGGCTTGTGGTAGCTGCTCTTCATTCATGGTCCTGAAACTGCAACAACAGAGAGACTGTGGAATCTACTCTGAAATTCCAAAGGAAAAAAAATCTGTATAAACTTGATTTCCTTGAGTTGCATTCACCCATCTCTCTATCCTCTTGCAAGCACTTTTTTTTTAATCCAATAATTTTAATTTTTCCTGATAACCGAAGTGGTGGACAGGTTTACCTCTAGACTGTTCTCTTACATGAAACCAACCAGCGTGCACACATGTGCAACAAATAAAGCACACTCCCTGCAGAATGTAATTATCTCCATCTTCCATATTCCTCAGCTGAACAAAAGGGGAAAAAATATAGCTTTGTAGAATCCTCTGCACAACGATCTATAAAATGTCCACACTGTCCCTAGTTGCTAGATTACTAGAGAAAAACATTTTTATGCTTTTCCCACCAAATTCCTATTTGCTTGATCAAATAAAGTTCACTCTCTGGAAACTCGCTTCTTTGTATGTTCCCTAAAATTGCCTGAGTTAGTTTAAGTAATGACAAGAACAGAACAGAACAGAACAGAACAGAATTCTTTATTGGCCAAGTGTGTGTGTGTGTGTGTCCAATCACACATAATGAGCAATTATTAGTACCTTCCTTAGTTTTTCCTGCTTCTTTCCTAAACTGAATTCCCACACCAAACTCCTTAATTGTGTTTGTTCTTCTTAATTGCTCACTCAGATGGATTACAATCCTGTAGGTTATTCTCACTGCTTTCCATACCATCCATAAAGTCTTCTGTACTACCATAACAGGCTCAGCTGAAAAAGCAGGTTTTCTGTCCGTTCTGGAGAGATAGTCATAAAAGGCAATACCGGAAAATGTCTGTTCTACTTCCATGATCTTCTGCTTATGGCAGAGACACACCACTTTTTGTTTAATCAAAGGCTTTACTTGAACTTTGAATGTTATGTTATGAGATGATCTCTCCAGAACATAATACACAGAGGAAAAACTATAACTAGGTTTTATTTAATTTTCAGTTACCTTTAAAATGAAATTAAATATAGTAAATATGATTGGGCTCCAACCATATCACTAATAATGTTCACTATATAACACATTATAAAGTATTGACAATTTCTGGAGGTTTCAAAGACCTGCTTCTAGATGTGTGTGTGTGAGAGAGTGTGCGCGCGCACGCGTGCGCTCCGATTCATGGGGTGCTGCCTCTATTTTTCTTTTTTAAAACATTTATATGCTATTTTTGCAACTGCAAAATTGCTGCCAGATACCTGTTCAAAGGTTTCAAGGGAATCAGGTATATGGAGTTTGTTTGAGGCTGAGAAGTAGAACATGCTGAAAACTATCCAAATAATTCAAGGCCCTACCAGATAGGAAAATGTCAGTTATGCCTATTCCTGGATCAGGAGGCTCTGCTTAAGTCACTCATGTTCTAGTCACCTCCAGACTGGACTACTCTACATGGAGGTGCCCTTGAAGAATATCTGGAAGCTTCAGCTGGTGCAGAATGCAGCCGCACAGGCAATTTTATGTGCTCCTAGAATAGCACATGTTGCTACGTTGCTATACAAGCTGCATTGGTTGCCAGTTGCTTCCAGGTCCAATTCAATGTTGGTTTTAACTTTTAAAGCCCTTCACAGCATGGGATGGAGCTATCTGAGGGACTGCCTCTCCCCAATTACTTCAGTCTGTCCTATTAGATCTCAAAGAGAAGGCATGCTGTGGATATCATTAGCTGAGAACCTATTTTTGGTGCGTCCCAGAAAATTGTGCCCTTTCTGCCATGGCGCCCATCTTATGGAACATCCTTCCCCCTGAAATTAGACTGGCCCCATCATATTTGATATTCTGAAAGACCCTTAAGACCTGGTCATAGGACCAGGCTTGGGGTTTCCACAGAACCAGAGTCTTCTCTAGATGCTCCATTTTCATTCTCCCTTCAGCTACATTTTGCATTTTTGTTTTTATGGTATTTATTATTATTTTTATATTTGAATTTGCTGTTTTTATATCTTCACTTTTTCATCTATTGTTGTGCACCGCCCATAGTTGCCTCAGGCAAGACGGGCAACTATATAAATTGGGTAAATAAATCAATATTAACTATCTAAACAAAGATATGAAACCAAATGAAACCATTATTGTCCAATGGGCCTGAGGTTACAAATTTATGTCCTGCAAACAATGCTTTAGAAGTACAGATGATATTGCTAGAAAGTTACCTTTTACTGGCTTCAATCAGTAAGCCCACTGCAACTAAATCTACGTAGATAAGCTAAATCCACCTCCATTACTTATGAACCTGCTTACCGGCAAACTAGGGCACTGTAATGCGGTTTACATGGGGTTGCATTTGAAGATAATTAGCAAAGTTCAACTGGGGGAAAATGCAGCTGTTCAACTTTTGAAGGGGAGAAAGGGTATAGGAATGTTTCCAAGCCTACTTGAATTAAAAGCCCAAAATGATTTGGGATATTATTTGAAAATGGCTTTCATTCATATATAAATATCTTGAATGTTTAAACAAAGCGCCTGAGGGCAGGACAAGAAGCAACGAATGGAAACTAATCAAGGAGAGAAGCAACCTAGAACTAAGGAGAAACAATTAGAACAATTAACCAGTGGAACCACCTGCCTCCAAAAGCGGTGAATGCTCCAACACTGGAAGCTTTTAAGAAGAAACTAGACAGCCATTTGTCCGAAATGGTATAGGGTTACCTACCTGAGCAGGGGGTTGGACTAGATGACCTCCAAGGTCCCTTCCAACTTTATTAGTATTATTATAATCTTCCATCTACACATTTAACGCTGAAGCTGTGTGTGAAGGTCTGTTATAAAGATCAACTAGGATAGTAGTTATGAAAGAGAAGGCCATCTCAAACATACTGTAGTTCTGACTGTGGAATCCCTTTCTTATTGATTTGCAAAGGGATTTTTATTTTACAGGTTTTCCAAGAGAGCCAACTTTTTTTCTGGACAGCAGTTTTTAAATGATATTTTCATTTAAAATAAAATGACAGCCAGTTTGGTCTAGTGGTTAAGGAACCAGGCTAGAAACCTGGTGAGAGTGTGAGTTCTAGTCCTGCTATAGGCATGAAAGTCAGCTGAGTGACCTTGAGCCAGCTGCTTTCTCTCAGCCCAATAACCTCACAGGGGTTTTGTTGTGGGGGCAAATAGGAGGAGGAATGTGTGTTGGATATGTTTGCTGTCTTGAGTTATTTGTATAAATAATAAAGGCGAGATATAAACAAACAAACATTTTGGTAGTACAAATTTGAAATTGATTTAATGTATTAATATGGACATCATTCAACTGGAATTACAGCTAGTATAAGGGAGTACATCAATCTGGAGGTGGCTACCAGATTAAGATAAGTCCCCACATCTCCCCATGTACATCTTGCTCCCTTTCTTCCTGTCTTTAAATTATAAATTATTATTATGGTTTGTCACACAAGTCAGTCACATGTGGATTTGGCATTTTTATCTGCCTATCAATTTCTTCCCAAGGACCTCGGATAGGCAGATGTTGATATTTGATGGTGCTAGAGGTATCGCCGCAGGGCATAAGCTGTTGTTTTAATGTTTCTAAGCTGCCCAGAATCGCCTCTAGGCAAGATGGTGGAATACAAGTCTAATAAATAAACAAACATAAATAATATTATGCTGTTGTTTAACAATGTTTTGGGATATTTTTAGCTTTATAGTTAAGATCTACATTAAAAAAACCTGTATTTTTTAAAGTCTTTAGTAGCTTCTTTTATACTTCCAAACAACCCATGTTCACACAACTTTTTATAACTGATTAAATTTATCAGATATTTTAATTATTGGCTTTTTGATCTGTATTTTGTTCCGGCCCATCTTTTCTCCTGTTCCATAAGAATAAGTGGCATGTCTTATTTGCAGAGTTTTAAGCAGACTACCGATTTTCCATTCTGGTTATTAACTTCTATTTCAAGAAGGAGAATCTCAGCACTCATAGATTAGTTACTCTCAATCTACTTCTCAACAAAAACACTTACTTTTGCTTCTCTGCCTTGTACTGTTGTGTGCAATCATCAAATAGCTTTTGGTTCATCTCCATAAACAGCTTCAGTGCATTGTAGATCAACCCATGGATTGTCCTGCAGAAGACAGAAATTATGATAAATTATTTAAAATGTCTCCAACACACTTTGGCAAAGATTAAAAACACCCTCTGAGGAAAACAGGAAGCTCCACACTCTAACTTCCTAGCACATATGCTTACAAATTACCTCCAAAGCTAGTGTGAATGTATAAACTCATATCCCATTAACCCAAGAAAAAATGCAGTTAGGCAAATAGGGCACAGGCAACATATTTGTTTCTCTTTGGGAATTTAACTTGTATATTTCCAATTACTGCCATTGATACTCTTCTCTTTTTCCTCCCATGATGAAAATGTAGGAGCCTAAACTAAATATAGCAATATTATCATCCTATCATCAATAATTCTTGACAGAAGGGCAAGCATCCCTAATTTAAAATTTCACTCCTCCCAAGACACAATGAAATACCTACTTGTTCCAATGACTTTTGGAATTTTTGTAGAGTGCTGGAAACATGATAGGGAGGATTTTGGCTGCATTGTCACTGATCAAACTCATGATATACTCATTATTCCAATAATACAATGCCCTCTCTGCCACCTGTATAAATAATAAAAATAAGACTTAGTTAAAAATAGAAAAAAAAATAGGCATTCTTTAAATTCTTAATGTTGCACATCATAAGGTAGGCAGCTGAATTTGACCTAATTTTTAAATAACATGAACAGCTAGTAGATACTTATCAAAATTAACATTCAATCTATTTATGTGAGATTTTGTTAGCTTGGCTTATAACTGAAATTTCATTTTTTTAACAAATCAGAATAGGAAACTATGGTGAGTGGAAAACAGTTTTATTTCTCTGAAAAGAAATGCTTTTTGTAATACCAGTTAAGTATATAACAGTCATATGTTGTTATTTGCCAATGTCCTAGGAAAAACTGAAACTGTCTACTGTCCAAGTACATATACTAAAGCCTGCTGTCATCTCTCCTAGCTTTTAACTCACCTGGAAGTGTGGACTAGAGACACATTTGGCCAACTGTCTGAACAGAGATTCCATAACTTTTACAAATTCAGAAGGCTCAATAACATCCAATATTTCTTCCAACTCATTCAGAAACATAACTTCCTTGGGACTGTGTGTTTTCGGCCAAAATTTTAGCAACCCCATTATCACCTGAAAGAAAACAAGCAGATTAAATATATTATATACAACCAATTTTGTAGTTTAGAAGCCTTTAATTTTGAAGAAATCTTTACAACATTTTTACACATCTCATGTAGCATGATACATTATATATACAATATTTATAGAACATTCCTGCCTCCTGTATATCTCCTTCTGTATATAACAGAATAGGATTTTTAACCACTGGAGAGACATCTGTGGACATTATAGTACCCTAAGAATCTATTCATTCCTTAATGATAAAAAAAAAACCCAGAAACGTTCTATCAACGATTACTAGTAGCTTTCATTTAATATAACAAAATAACAGAGTTGGAAGGGACCTGGAGGTCTTCTAGTTCAATCCCCTGCTCAAGCACAAGGCCTATATCATTTCAGACAAGTGGTTGTCCAATCTTTTCTTTAAAACTTCCAGTGATGGAGCATCCACAACTTCTGAAGACAAGCTATTCCACTGATTAATTGTTCTTACTGTAAGGAAAATTCTCCTTATTTCTAGATTGGTTCTCTTCTTGATCAGTTTCCATCCTTTGCTTCTTGATCTGCCTTCAAATGCTTTGGAGAATAACTTGACCCCCTCTTCTTGTGGCAGCCCCTTACGATATTGGAACACTGCTACCATGTCACCATAGTCCTTCTTTTCATTAAACTAAACATACCCAATTCCTGCAATTGTTCTTCATATAATTTAACTTCCAGGCCCCTAATCATCTTTCTTGGTTTTCTCTGCACTCCTTCCAAAGTCTCAACATCTTTTTTTATATCATGGTGATTAAAACTGGATGTCGTATTTCAAGAGTGGTCTTACCCAGGCATTATAAAGTGGTACTAAGACTTCATGTAATTTATGCTAGGTTCTGATCATTTTCTATGATATCTCCAAAATTCAATGTATATTATGGCTGGGGAATTGATTTCATAACTTTATTTAAATAATAAACTTAAACGTAATAGTATATTGTTAAAAATTAATTAACTATTCACCTAAGTAAATAGAGAATTATAGAATCATGGAATTGGTAAAGGCCATTTCAATTATAAAGCCCAATCTAATGCTCAAAAATCTAAATTAAAGCATCCTTGATGGTTATCTGTCCAACCTCTGTTTGAATACATCCAGGAACGCAGAATCTACCACCTTCACTTGTCTTCTTGTTTCTTTCTATCTCTCAGGTTAACCAAGCAAGTACTGGTAACTGGAAAGGAACTTACTTAAGGATTCCTATATAGAATCTGTTTGTTCTCTCTGTTCATTCTCTGAAATCTGGTTGTTTTACAATCCTTCTATAGTCGTTGCTTCTTTAGTAGTCATCCATAACACACAATCATCAATTTCAGAATACAATGCTTCCTATCAGGAACTAATCAGAAGGTTTTTTTCATTCTCTCAGCTGAGAGGTTACACAACCTCTCTAGTTACTTTCTTGCCTTTTTCTCCTATTGAATTTTATTAGAAAACACTTGTTTACTCTCTCTCTCTCCTCACTCATCATTACATGAAAAATATAAATAATGGCCAAGCCTCATTCCTTTTTATTAGTTTAATTTTCAAAGTTTCCAGTTAGAGAATAAAAAAAGATTACAATTTATTTTACACTATGAATTTCAGCAACAGTATAGACAAACATATCAAGCTACTTAGGAATAGAATTTATCTCAGCATGAATCACCAATAGCTTACCCGATGACAAATAGAAGTCTAAAAGAACATTAAAAATAGATTTATCTAACCTACTGACAGAAATTTTCCAAGGTGTCTAAAGCAGAGCATTTCCCCAACCCCTTATTCTTCTTCAGAAATGGATTAAAATTGTGCATGAATTTATTAGTCAAATATTGATAATTTTGGAAATGTTCATGTTTGCCTGATCATCAAAGAACTAATTAAATTATGTACAAAATTTTTGCTTTTTTCTGTCACATATGCTTAGAATTTCTAAAAAGCAACATATTAAAAACAGTGACATCAAATGATTAAAGATTAGCAAAAAACAAAACAAAAATCCAAAACACCCTAACAAAACAGCAGGTGTAAAGTCCTTAAGCCAAACAATACAGGAAAGATTATACATCAAATACTTATTTCAAAGAAATTGTTTTAATAAAACTTTCAAAAATTTGAAAAACAGACAAATGTCTCAAGAAGTGGCTTCAAAAAGCAAAGCTTTATAGTAGAAAAGGCCTGCACAAGTATCAATCAGTTTTGCAGATATGAGACATGAAGCAAGATACCCCTAAATAGATGGCAATAGTTTGACCAAGTTAAGAAAGAACAAAGGAGATCTTCAATACCTTTGACCTAAACTGTTTAGGCTTAAAAATCTCCACCAGCAATTTGAGTTGGGCTTAGAAAGGAACTGAGAGACAAAACAGTATATAGGATCTTCATGCCTGTTTCCAAAGTGTTCCATTCTATCATTCATTAATGGAAAATACAAAAAATTAACATTAATTTATATAAATTGTTCTAAATTGTATTCTCCTGAATATCCATGAAAATCTACAAAGTATAATATTACAACCATCTCAGCATCACAAAGAAAAGCTTACCGGTTCAGTCAGACTGCTGTCTTTTTCCAAGAACTGCACAACACAATATGCCAACTGCAGAAAGAACACAGCATTCAAGTATTATGAAAATGACTGGCCAGGGACAACTTAAAAGTATTAGGATATAAATATATGTTGTTTATAATTTTTTGTGTTAAATTGCAAATTAAATCTGTTCCTAGCAATCCTATGTCTCCTAGCCCACTAAGGCTACAATTCTATATACATTTATCTGGATCTCATTTCTGCATAAAACCTATCCAGCAGAAGAAAGAAGTAGGTGCAATGGGAAACACCAGCAAATCAGATTTCTCTATTTTTACTTCTGCTCCTTCCTCCAAACCACTTGGATTGCAGTCTCTTTGGCCTCAAGGTAGAAGCCTGATTGCTTACCAGCTCTGAAACAGTTGAGAATTCTCTGGGTTAGTTATCCAGCCACTGACTGTTTTTCAGAAGGCCTGCATTTATAGCCAGATGGATAAGCAATTGGGGAGTTTTGTACTAAGAATAATTTTGGCATTTAATCTCGGAACTAATTAAATGTTTGGCTAACGAGATAGACAATGTTCAAAAGGATGATATGGTGGGTGGATGGGTTTGGAGGAGAAAAAGGACACAGTACTTTAGGAACATACATATTGCAGCTTACTAAGAAAGTTTGATCAGACAGGGTCAATTAGACTGACAACTTAACAAATCTTCTTGGATTCCATAGGGAACTTGGGGTTTTCCCACAGGACTGGATAGGTAGTTTTGCCAAGGCTTTAGGTCACAGTCTTGAAGAGGCTGGTAACAGAGGCCTTGGATTGTATTATTGCAGTCTCTCCCTCTAATCTGATCCTATAATGCCCTTATTTTTCTGAGAAGCAGAAAACAGTCAAAAAGATGCCTGGAGTTCCACTGGAGGAAGACAAGGAATAAATATGACCAAGAGCCTATATTCAGGATTATATTATGACAATAAGGCCAGCAAAACATCATTATTTCTTTGCCCTTCTTGCATTTGCCCAGTTCAAGGCAACTCAATCTTTGCCAGGGAAGGTCGGATCACAGGAAAAGGCCACATTAAAAAATATTCTGCTATCTGATGGATACCATCACTGAGATCTACTCAGAGTTTGATTCTGATTGGGTAAGACCAGTTTGAGATATGGTGCCTGAGTTTGAGACTGCAACTTCTAATGAAGTGGACAGAGTCCTGCAAACTGTGAGCTCAGCTACCTGTTTATTAGTTCTGTATCTTTTTCCTGGATTGTTAACCTGTTTGGGAAATGCCATGTGGTTTTGGGTTCCACATGACGGTGTCAACCTTTTGGAGGGAAGGGACTGGTTCCTGCAGCCTTAAAAGGGATGGTGGTATGCTCAAGGCATTGTCTTTGGACTCATCAATTCTGGGCAAAATCCCATTGGTCCAGAGATATTTAATTGTATATTCCAGGCCACCCAGGTGATACTGTTGATGCCCTATTCCACTCTTTAGATGCTATGCAAATCTGGATGTAGAAGTACAAACTCAAGTTTAATTCTAACAAGACCAAATGATTATGGATATTTGACCATCTGTAGTTTCCAATCCCTGGTCTGGGAAACTTTCTATCTCTAGTCTTGGAGGGGGTAGCAATTACCCATTTAAGACTGGGGAACAATCTGGGAGTCTTCTTGGGCTCAGAGCTTCTGCTTGAAGAATAAGTAACAACCCTGACCTAAAGAGAGTTGACAAAATCATATAGTGTCACCAACTGCATTCATTGTTGGCTCACAAGGCCCTCCAAAGGGTCATTCATGCCCTAGTCATGAATGGATAATTGCAATACACTCTAGGTTGGGCTGCCCTTAAAGTTCATTTGCAAGCTACTGTACAGATGGTTTAAATCAGGGGTGTCAAACTGGTGACTAACAGCCGGATGCATCACACACAGGCCACGCCCACTCCAGCTCCGCAAAGGCAAAAAACGTTGCGATATGTCACGATATGTCGCCTGACATGAATGAGTTTGACACCCGTGGTCTAAACTGTGGCAGCAAGGGCAGTATAGAATGTTACTGCTCCTGAAACTACACTGATTACCATTTGGTTTCAGCTGTAAAAGCCCTTCATAACATAGGGCCTGGTCATTTAAACAATTATGTATCTCCAAGAGTTTCCACCTGTTCTGTAAGATCAGCTAGCGTGGGCTTCTCCAGGTCCCTTTGATTAAACAATGTCATTTAGTAGGACTCTTGAAATGTGCATTACAGCACCTACTTGCTAGAACAGCACCCCCCCTCCAGAGATCCATATTATTCCCATTCCGATAATGTTCAGGAATTTCCTGAAAACCAGGTTATTCTCCCAGGCCCTGAGGTAGGTGAATGTTGACCTCTTATAGAATGTTTTATCTGTAATGTTTTCCCCCAGACGTCTATGATCTATATGTTATTACTGTTTTTTGTTGTAAAGTTGCCCAGAGTCTTGTGGAATTACGCAGCCTTTAAATTGTTAAATTAAACTATACTGTCATAGTCTTCTCAGCAGTGAGGTTCTGGATGTGGTTCCAGCCATAAAGAATCTGGTCTTGCTTCTCTGTTCAGCCAGGGTAATCCAAAATAAGACAGAGATCATACAATAAGAATTTGGCTGGGGAAGAATTGTTGAAGTTTTCATCATTCAACAAATAAAACTGAGAGATTTTTTTAAAAAAAATATCTCCTATGATTGGCTTTGTATTAATTATGTATGACATTGACTGCTAAACATCTGTTAATCTAATACTTTGGGATCTATTAATCATATACATTGTTTGTATACAATGTATATGATTAATAGATCCCAGATCTGATGTAGATCAGTCTCAACCGTTGCCAATAAAAAGTTGTCTCAGAATGTTTGAGGATCCTTTGGAGCAGCCAAGAAGTAACTAATATTAAAAATTCAAAGAAAACCTCTGCCTTCCACCTTCAAGGGAGGTATCACTGGATCATGGTCATTCTTTTAGATCAGGGGTAGTCCACGAGTCATAAAAGAGCCAAGGTTGACTACCCCTGTTTTAGATAGTTCTTGTGTTTACTAAAGATTAGGTCTGGACCCAAAGTACAGAATCCAGTGTCAGAGTAACAGACATTGACTTCATCTCTAAAAAAAAAGTTAAATAAACCCATGAAAGGTAAGGATACAAAATAGCTACCAGTTATCAAGATTATATGGCATCTTTAAAATGAATGCATATATTTTTCTAATGGGAAGCAAGATAGCACTTAGATAGGCCTTTAATCCAACAGGTCTCATCTTACAGTTCTAATGTAATCACATCAACTGAAATAACATTAGGAGTTGACAAGCCAACTGGAGAACCTGAGGAAGTGTACTGGAAAAACAAAAGCAGATGTTCTGGACAAAGTTCAAACTGCTACTTTACAGAAAGCCCCCAAAGTTTAGAAACAATGCTTCTAAAATTTAAAGACAGGCAAACAGGACCAAAATCTACCTGTCATTTCAGAGCACTTACAGAATGTACTGCATATTATCAGAATGAATGTCTTACCTGAGGGTGATAGACACTCAAAGATTTCACTTTGTGTAATGGTAACAAGACCCGAATCTCCTTGTAAAACACGAGAAGAAAGTTCCCGTTTCGTTTAGGTAACTAATATGACTCTTTCCTTTCTTAGTACTTATAGTTCCTGAACACACGTTGACACATATACATAGATATTTGTTGACAAGGGTTGAGGGTGGTACGACAACGGAGTAGTAATCCTATAGGATATCTTTTATATATGTGTTAAGGGGTTCTTAAGCGTGCATTATTCATGGTGTGCAGGAGGGAGAGACTCTTGCAGCATGAAAAACAGAAAACTCACTTAACTGCCTGGCAGTAATCATAAAATTACCAAAAAAAGTACTGATAAAAAATAGAGTAACATAGAACTATCTTACCTCCCTAAAATCTCTAGCAATTCTGCAATCCCATTGTGATGTTCTGTCTCATAAATAAACCTGGAATATAGAGGAGGCATGTGTTAGACTACTAAGAAGCAGGTTTCAGGGAGATACAGTAGATGATATGATTCTCATTTTCTAGTGCAGAAAACCCAAATTACATAAATACATGTGCATACATCTGCTGATTTCCTTATGTTTCCAATGCAGGGATATATAAGGACGTGTTTATCTTTAGACAAGGAATTAAGACTAGAAGACCCAGAGACAGGATGTTAGAAGGGGGAAAAGAACCAGGTGGAGTGATGGAAAATGCACTGAACGTTGAAAAGCTGAACTCTAACTATTAAGAATCTAGCTCCGCTCCTCACTCTTCTGTCATGTTCTGCCCAACTATTTGAAGATTTTTATTTGAAGCTGTGATTTAGAGGTTTTTCTAAGAAGATGCTTCATACAGTAAGTGAAGTAAGTGACACTTTTTTCACTTATCTGCTCTTACAGGAATATAGGTGAACAACTTTAGGGTCCTATCATATGATCCCATAAGATGGTTCAAGAGCTCCCTTACTCCTATAACTGAAAGTTGATGATTGAAAATCGGTAAAATCTCACATAAGGATGACAAGCTATCTTTTGAACAGAAATGCAGTATATAAATAGACAATAAAAGCGAATGTTACCTCAAGATGAAAGACTTATTTGGTATATGATTCTGTATCCAATTTAAAATTACACTGCCCCAACCAATTCCTACAAACTAGACTACATCATTCCTGGCTGGTGTCAGTAGTTTTTTTTTTTTTAATCCGTTTAAAAATTATATTGCCACATTTCTCTAGGCATAAGTAACTTGTTCCTTCATCCCCCAATACAGCCAGAATAACCAATGGCACAGGGCTATGGGAATTTCAGTTTGCTTATCCCTACCAAAAGTCAGATTATTCAACAGGTTTTTACCTTCTCATTTAACTTATGGAGTTAATTAAAAAGGATTCCAAATAAATTCAACTCACCCCTTCATTCTAGATAGATGTTTAATCTACTTAGTAAGTAAATGACTACCTATTATTACTACTTACCTATAAAATATGTTGTTTATTTGCCTCCTTATATATGCACGGAGGCCCAAAAACTTTCCATAAATCCTATGCAAAATTGTCTTCAGAAAGTCTCGTTCTCTGGGATCTTCACTATCAAATAAGTCCAACAGCTGCAAAAGGAGGATTGAATAAAATCCATTATCCCAACCTACTCCAGACTACTCATCTTGTGCTGGGTTAACAATCCGAAGATAAACACAGCTGAAAAGTGTCAACGTAAAGAGGCAACAACATCTTTAGCCCCATGAAGATTCGTAAACTATCCAGAAAACAAGCTGTGAAGCTTTTCAAAAGACTCCAATAGTGCACACACAGCAACTCTTATGAAGTAACTTTACTTAAAACTCTGATGGATCACAAATCAAGAAATACATCAACAAGTATCTTGTACCTCTAGCTTCCTTTGCCCTTTTCTTATGACAAGGTAATCATCTATTTTTTATTATTTATTTATTATTAGACTTCTTTGTCACCCATCTCACTGAGATGACTCTAAGTGGCTTACAGTCATACAATTAAAAAACTATTTAAAACAGGAAAATGTTAAAACAATAAAGAAGAACCCTACAGACCAAAATTCAGATATTTTCATTCACAAACAGCTCAAACAATTAAGAAAAGTTTTTTTTAATGTAACTACATTTTTATATAATTTCACAGTTGTATTCTCACAGGCAATCTGCATTCACTTGTCCTCTGGAAAGACAAATGAATTTATAATTATATTTTCACACATTTTTTAAATAAATACACATATTTTGTTGGTAAATATTTCATTAATTTAAACCATTTTTTCTAGTTTTGGTAAAATTTAAAATACACTGAATCATGTTATGCTGGGAGAGAGTTAATTTAACAAGAGAAATTATATAACTTTTAACATTTTATTGGTTTTATTGTAATTTCTTTGTCATAAACAACCCAGACTCATTAAAAATCAGGCAGCATACAGGTTTAATTAAATAATAATAGTGATACACCAATTATAATTAGAAAATCAAGCAACAATATCTGCCTATCCCAGGTTCTTGGGAAGGACTTAATAGGTGGATAAAAATGAGAAATCCAGTCTAAACATCTAGCTGATTGTGCAACAACGAAAATAATTAGGAAACAATACATATCACTATCAAGGTAAATTACTTGTAAAACAAAGAACAAAAGAAAATAATAATGGAGGACCTACATTTTTTTATATCAATTATTGCTAAACTGAAAAATAAGCAACTCAGCAGTATAATCCAAAAATTATCTGCTATAGGATCTGTAGCTATAAAATTATCTGCTATAGGATTCCCAACAGAGTTTCTGCCTGATTCTCTGCACTCTCCTCACCACTTCTATTTCAACTGAGGTGCAAAATAAATTGGAGTTAAAAGGAAGGAGGAAAGAGGAAATGATGATTACTTACTGACATTACAAACTTCTGGTCAATATATTTCTTGGCTATGTTTGGTTGAAAGTCTGGAGACTCTAAGAACCTCAGAAAGAATTCATATACCAGCTAAAAAGGAATGAGACACAAAAAGGATTTTTACAATATCATTATAGAAAAAGATAAGTCTTTTTCATGTCAAGTATGACTTATAAGTTTGATTCATGTGTACTTCACAGAGGCACTTGTTTTGTTTTCTTGAAGAGATTTGCTATTTTCTAGGATATTTTCTCAACTTTCGGACTAGCCTTAAAGCCTTGAGATTTCCTGGTGGTCTCCCATCTAAATATTAACCATCTGTCCATCCTTACTTTTTAAATCAGATTAAGGCAGCTTGGGGATTTGCTGCTTGACATCAATTTTTCAGTTAGCAAATGAGATACCAAAATCAAAGTTCAGGTACTAGGACCCACATAACAGTATCTGTCAGAATTTTGGATTCAGTATAAAAGTCAGATTCTACTTCATATCAATGGGTATTCATTGTCTCTAGTAGAAGTCCTGAGAGTTGTGTTTCTATAGTACAAAGATAATTGAATCTGAAAACGGAAAACCTTCCCCGAACAAATGTCTAAGTGGTGTGTGACTGAGAAGGTCTCTTGATTTAGGCTGAAGATGTAAGTATACAACATTAATCCATTATGGAGTCACGATTCTCCTTTTGGAACAGATTTACACTTTCCACACTGAATTACACGTTAGAAAAACTTTATCTTTTTAGAAGAAAAAAACTATGTACAGCTTGACCAGTTTTTGTGACAATCACAATTCTACCTCCTAAATAGCCAAAAGTACAGAACAAAAGTACTGAGTGACTAGTTCTTATGACAATTATTAAAGTATTTCCTCCACTCCCCCAAGCAGGTCTGAGGAATTTTTGGGTGGGGAGAGAACTGCAGTGGGTTGGGTGATTTAGTAAAAATTAGTAAAGCTGAATCACATCCATGGGCAGGGCATGCCTTTTTTCCACTGAGTTTGTCTGAATAAATTCAGTTGATTTAGTATTAAGTACTAAAAATGATGCCACCAATTTTCAGCAATTATTATTAGAAGGTATCTTCATGAGCTATAAAAAAGGCAGGAACATCCTTACAATCTGTATTATAACTTGCAATTTCTTTAGCATCTTTATAATTTGTGATCCTGGCTGGGGAGCTAAGATTTATCTGTATTTTTCCTCCCATACATTATATAATATCTGTTTAATTTTTAGTTGCATTTTTATACGGTGTTTTATAAAGGTCTGGTTCTCTTTAACAAATATAATGAAGGATTTTTATTCTTTCTTTAAGATATACTCCTAATAAAATATATGTTTGCTGCTGTTAAAATCAAGCAAGTACACTTTTTAAATTCTGTATGTTCCCCAGAGTGCCTTGATTTGGCAGCTTTATAAATCCAACAAATAATATTGATTGTGACATGGTCTATCCATATTGATTGTGACAGGGTCTATCCTCTCCTTTTAGAACTAAATTGATGCTACACCACAGCTGATGGAATAAAATTGCATAGTTTCTTATCTAAGCTAGTTCTCAACTGATCCAAGAAGCAGATAGGTCTAAAGTAGGGTGAATAACTTTTTGTAAGCTAACAGCTGGTCTCAAATAAATGGACATAAACTTATTGAAAAAGTTCCTGGGCAAAAAGGCCAAAACACTTGGGTAGAAGACCAGCAATATGATGCAATCTTCAGATTGACCATTGTGGTTTAAATTCATATGAGCTAGCAACCTTTCTAAACATCAAATTTCTAGCTCAAGTTGTTGCTTATACATTTCCATTAGGAGAAAAAAAGGGACAGTAACATAGCAAAAAAACCATTTTAATACCTGGAGATGAGGCCAAGCAGCTTCTAGCGTAGGTTCATCTTCTTCAGGATCAAATTCTGCTCCTGTAGGATTAGATGATGGTGGAAGTGTCCGGAAGAGATTCACTGAAAACTGAGAAATGTGACAATAAAATTGAGATGTTTCTGCAGATTGACTCAATGACTCAGTGCAATCCCTTATTAGGAAATCGCTAACCAAATATTAATTTTCTCCAGAGGCACACACTCTCCCCAGTTCCAGGAAGGAGAAAGCTTAATTAAAAATAAAAAAACTTCTAAGTCTGTAACGAGAAACATTCTTCTCAGTGTTCCATGATTTACTGCTATTTATTTCTAAGCGTTACTGTGTACCCATCTCTCATGCTAAGGCACATCAAGCCATTTGGAGTTGCCTGCTATCCAAGTTGTTTCTCCCTGGCATTTTTCAGTTTTTCAACATTGCTAAGTTTGACCATCGGAAGTAGTGACACCATCTGAGTAAGAATAGAAATTTTAAAAATCCAGTCAAGTGAACAGAAATAGTAGCCATTACTGTCTAAAACAGGGTTTCTCAACCATGGCAACTTGAAGGTGTGCGAACTTCAACTCCCAGAATTCTCCAGCCAGTATAGCTGGCCAGGGAATTCTGGGAGTTGAAGCCCACACATCTTCAAGTTGCCAAGTTGAGAGACATTGGTCTAAAAGACAACCCTTCAGTGAGGTTTAACCTGAAGAGGCTAAAATTATTTACTGCATTGATTTCCTAAAATATGTGTCACTACCGATACAATAAATTGTCCATTTTTCTGCCCAATACGATGATTTTTCACTGACATATAGCAGAATACAGATAGTTCTCAACTTATGATCATTATCGGGACCAGAATTTCCATTGCTAAGTAAGGCAGTTAAATGAGTGACATCTGATTTTATGATCTTTTATGACATGATTATTAAATAAATCATTGCAGTTGTTAATTGAATCAGGCAGTCCTTAAGCAAATCTGGCTTTTGCCATTGATTTGCTGGTCCAAAGCAGGCTGAGAAGGTTGCAAATGGCGATCACATGACCCTGGGGTGTTGCAATGGTAATAAGTACATACCAATTGCCAAGCACTCAAATGTTGATCAGGTGACTGTGGAAATGTGACGGTTGGAAGTGAGAGGACCGGTTGTAAGTCACTTTTTTCAGCACTGTTGTCATTTTAAATGGACGCTAAGCAAATGACTGTAATTTGAGGACCATCTGTATGACGCTCTATGCCAAACAGAGAATTTTCTAATGCTCAGAATTTCTTATTTCAGAAGTATCTGACAACTATTATAAGAAACAGCATCAAAGAAGCACTATAACTTCATTCAACCAAACATGGCTGCAATACCATTTCATATCTCCCTGCCCAGAAGTCAGAAGTGGAAAGGGGGATTACTTTCTTTTCACACTTCAAAAAGCCAGATAAAAAGAGCTAAAGTGAACCACCAGAACATAAGTTTTTGGACTTCACAATTAAAACAGGAGAGGGCCATTATGCCATCAATATCTTCCCTTTTACCGTAGAAATCCAAATTAAAGCATCCCAACAAAAGTTCTGCTTAGCTTCTGCTTGAACACATCAAGAAAAGGGGCAGTCCACTACTTCTCATGTTGAATTGGTATTACTGTTAAGAATTTCTTATTTTTTAACTGATAACCACCTTCCTATAATTCAAGATCCTATGGTTTGGGATGAAAGAGAACAGATTTGGCCTCTTTCTGGGTAACATTCCTTCAAGAACTTGGCAAGTATTTTTAGATTCCCAAGTTATTATTACATGCTATTACATTTGTTCTCAAAACTAAGCTATCCAGTTCCCTTAGCTTGTTCTTATAAGTCTTAGTTTTTGGTCCCTTATCTTTTATTGCATCTGTTTATCTTTTTAGGTGCCTTAAATCAGAAAGCACAGTGGTATCCTCAAGTTGAAAAAAAGTTGCCCATCCCTCTTTTAAGCTGCTTTACTAGGAGTAACAGCCAGAAGTAGATCAATATGTACCATGATAACTGCTTCAGGATAAATAGCTTCTGTGACAACATCCCGATTATGAGTAATATATTCCACCATTTCATTGAGTCCTGCTCGTTTGACCTCTTTGAATTTCAAGTCACTGAGTGGATCAGAAACAAAGTCAAAGAGGACACAGCACTGTCGTAACTTCTGTATGAAGAGGTCTTCCCGTTCATGAGGAGGAGCATCTGAGGGAGAAGATAAAAGGCAAAAATATTTCCTTTCTGCTCTAAGTATGTTGATGTTCCAATATCCAAATAGACCACACGGCAGCTTTTTTTCTCCTTCCTTGTACCATTATAAGGTCTCTTCTGCTTTCCATAGGCTCACTGACAATACTGTTGTGATAGATAAGATGTTCATATTGCTCTTCAGTTATCAACCATGTGGGAATTTAAGTTTTCTCTCCTACACCCAGCCCCTCTCTTATCTAACAGAGAAATAAATAGTCTTGAAAAAGTAGGCTAAACAGCCATGAAATATAAGCTAATAGTAGCAAGAGCAAATAAAACAATTGTAATGCTTCAAATAATAAATGTATCACTTATCTGTGCTATTTCTCATCAAAATAACTATTCTCTTAAGTCAGTTCAATTGTCCATCTGTCTAATCAACAATTGTTTTCGATAGCTCTCTTTCAATTCATTTCCCTGTCCTCCATGAATTTCCTTCAGAACCACACCTTAAATCTTAGTAAATAATTAAAGCAGTACTATTTGTGATTTCTTTCACAATCATCAGGTAACACTGGCATGGACTCAGTATTCTGGTTGTGAAGATGATCTTTCAGATAAACCAAATGAGCTCATGGCAAAGGAAATTATNCCCTCTGGAACGAACTACCCCCCGAGATCCGGATGATTCCGGATCTCCTTACTTTCCGCCGCGCCCTCAAGACATGGCTTTTCCAGCAAGCGGGCCTGACCTAGGGAGGATTTTAGGTAGGGATGATTTTAAGAAAATTTTAATTGACACACAGCTTCGAATATTTGGCTTTTAATTTGGTTTTATGGGTTTTTTTTTTTTTTGTTCTTTGATGTATTTTGTTTGTCTGTTTTAATATGCTGTGCACCGCCCTGAGTCCTACGGGAGAAGGGCGGTATATAAATTAAATTATTAAATTAAATTATGTTTCCAATGCAGGGATATATAAGGACGTGTTTATCTTTAGACAAGGAATTAAGACTAGAAGACCCAGAGACAGGATGTTAGAAGGGGGAAAAGAACCAGGTGGAGTGATGGAAAATGCACTGAACGTTGAAAAGCCGAACTCTTAACTAATAAGAATCTAGCTCCGCTCCTCACTCTTCTGTCAAGTTCTGCCCAACTATTTGAAGATTTTTATTTGAAGCTGTGATTTAGAGATTTTTCTAAGAAGATGCTTCATACAGTAAGTGAAGTAAGTGACACTTTTTTCACTTATCTGCTCTTACAGGAATATAGGTGAACAACTTTAGGGTCCTATCATATGATCCCATAAGATGGTTCAAGAGCTCCCTTACTCCTATAACTGAAAGTTGATGATTGAAAGTTGGTAAAATCTCACATAAGGATGACAAGCTATCTTTTGAACAGAAATGCAATATATAAATAGACAATAAAAGCGAATGAAGATGAAAGACTTATTTGGTATATGATTCTGTATCCAATTTAAAATTACATTGCCCCAACCAATTCCCACAAACTAAACTACATCATTCCTGGCTGGTGTCAGTAGTTTTTGTTTTTTTTAAATCCATTTAAAAATTATATTGCCACATTTCTCTAGGCATAAGTAACTTGTTCCTTCATCCCCCAATACAGCCAGAATAACCAATGGCACAGGGCTATGGGAATTTCAGTTTGCTTATCCCTACCAAAAGTCAGCTTATTCAACAGGTTTTTACCTTCTCATTTAACTTATGGAGCTAATTAAAAAGGATCCCAAATAAATTCAACTCACCCCTTCATTCTAGATAGATGTTTAATCTACTTAGTAAGTAAATGACTACCTATTATTACTACTTACCTATAAAATATGTTGTTTATTTGCCTCCTTATATATGCACGGAGGCCCAAAAACTTCCCATAAATCCTATGCAAAATTGTCTTCAGAAAGTCTCGTTCTCTGGGATCTTCACTATCAAATAAGTCCAACAGCTGCAAAAGGAAGATTGAATAAAATCCATTATCCCAACCTACTCCAGACTACTCATCTTGTGCTGGGTTAACAATCCGAAGATAAACACAGCTGAAAAGTGTCAACGTAAGGAGGCAACAACATCTTTAGCCCCATGAAGATTCGTAAACTATCCAGAAAACAAGCTGTGAAACTTTTCAAAAGACTCCAATAGTGCACACATAGCAACTCTTATGAAGTAACTTTACTTAAAACTCTGATGGATCACAAATCAAGAAATACATCAACAAGTATCTTGTACCTCTAGCTTCCTTTGCCCTTTTCTTATGACAAGGTAATCATCTATTTTTTATTTTTTATTTATTATTAGACTTCTTTGCCACCCATCTCACCAAGATGACTCTAAGTGGCTTACAGTCATACAATTAAAAAACTATATAAAACAGGAAAATGTTAAAACAATAAAGAGGAACCCTACAGACCAAAATTCAGATATTTTCATTCACAAACAGCTCAAACAATTAAGAAAAGTTTTTTTATGTAACTACATTTTTATATAATTTCACAGTTGTATTCTCACAGGCAATCTGCATTCACTTGTCCTCTGGAAAGACAAATGAATTTATAATTATATTTTCACACATTTTTTTAAATAAATACACATATTTTGTTGGTAATTATTTCATTAATTTAAACCATTTTTCCAGTTTTGGTAAAATTTAAAATACATTGAATCATGTTATGCTGGGAGAGAGTTAATTTAACAAGAAAAATTATATAACTTTTAACATTTTATTGGTTTTATTGTAATTTCTTTGTCATAAACAACCCAGACTCATTAAAAATCAGGCAGCATACAGGTTTAATTAAATAATAATAATGATACACCAATTATAATTAGAAAATCAAGCAACAATATCTGCCTATCCCAGGTTCTTGGGAAGGACTTAATAGTGGATAAAAATGAGAAATCCAGTCTAAACATCTAACTGATTGTGCAACAACGAAAATAATTAGGAAACAATACATATCACTATCAAGGTAAATTACTTGTAAAACAAAGAACAAAAGAAAATAATCATGGAGGACCTACATTTTTTTGTATCAATTATTGCTAAACTGAAAAATAAGCAACTCAGCAGTATAATCCAAAAATTATCTGCTATAGGATCTGTAATTATAAAATTATCTGTTATAGGATTCCCAAGAGAGTTTCTGCCTGATTCTCTGCACTCTCCTCACCACTTCTATTTCAACTGAAGTGCAAAATAAATTGGAGTTAAAAGGAAGGAGGAAAGAGGAAATGATGATTACTTACTGACATTACAAACTTCTGGTCAATATATTTCTTGGCTATGTTTGGTTGAAAGTCTGGAGACTCTAAGAACCTCAGAAAGAATTCATATACCAGCTAAAAAGGAATGAGACACAAAAAGGATTTTTACAATATCATTATAGAAAAAGATAAGTCTTTTTCATGTCAAGTATGGCTTGTAAGTTTGATTCATGTGTACTTCACAGAGGCATTTGTTTTGTTTTCTTGAAGAGATTTGCTATTTTCTAGGATATTTTCTCAACTTTCGGACTAGCCTTAAAGCCTTGAGATTTCCTGGTGGTCTCCCATCTAAATATTAACCATCTGTCCATCCTTACTTTTTAAATCAGATTAAGGCAGCTTGGGGATTTGCTGCTTGACATCAATTTTTCAGTTAGCAAATGAGATACCAAAATCAAAGTTCAGGTACTAGGACCCACCTAAGAGTATCTGTCAGAATTTTGGATTCAGTATAAAAGTCAGATTCTACTTCATATCAATGGGTATTCATTGTCTCTAGTAGAAGCCCTGAGAGTTGTGTTTCTATAGTACAAAGATAGTTGAATCTGAAAACGGAAAACCTTCCCCGAACAAATGCCTAAGTGGTGTGTGCCTGAGAAGGTCTCTTGATTTAGGCTGAAGATGTAAGTATACAACATTAATCCATTATGGAGCCACGATTCTCCTTTTGGAACAGATTTACACTTTCCACACTGAATTACACGTTAGAAAAACTTTATCTTTTTAGAAGAAAAAAACTATGTACAGCTTGACCAGTTTTTGTGACAATCACAATTCTACCTCCCTAAATAGCCAAAAGTACAGAACAAAAGTACTGAGTGACTAGTTCTTATGACAATTATTAAAGTATTTCCTCCACTCCCCCAAGCAGGTCTGAGGAATTTTTGGGTGGGGAGAGAACTGCAGTGGGTTGGGTGATTTAGTAAAAATTAGTAAAGCTGAATCACATCCATGGGCAGGGCATGCCTTTTTTCCACTGAGTTTGTCTGAATAAATTCAGTTGATTTAGTATTAAGTACTAAAAATGATGCCACCAATTTTCAGCAATTATTATTAGAATGTATCTTCATGAGCCATAAAAAAGACAGGAACATCCTTACAATCTGTATTATAACTTGCAATTTCTTTAGCATCTTTATAATTTGTGATCCTGGCTGGGGAGCTAAGATTTATCTGTATTTTTCCTCCCATACATTGTATAATATCTGTTTAACTTTTAGTTGCATTTTTATATGGTGTTTTATAAAGGTCTGGTTCTCTTTAACAAATATAATGAAGGATTTTTATTCTTTCTTTAAGATATACTCCTAATAAAATATATGTTTGCTGCTGTTAAAATCAAGCAAGTACACTTTTTAAATTCTGTATGTTCCCCAGAGTGCCTTGATTTGGCAGCTTTATAAATCCAACAAATAATATTGATTGTGACATGGTCTATCCATATTGATTGTGACAGGGTCTATCCTCTCCTTTTACAACTAAATTGATGCTACACCACAGCTGATGGAATAAAATTGCATAGTTTCTTATCTAAGCTAGTTCTCAACTGATCCAAGAAACAGATAGGTCTAAAGTAGGGTGAATAACTTTTTGTAAGCTAACAGCTGGTCTCAAATAAATGGACATAAACTTATTGAAAAAGTTGGGCGTTCCTGGGCAAAAAGGCCAAAGCACTTGGGTAGAAGACCAGCAATATGATGCAATCTTCAGATTGACCGTTGTGGTTTAAATTCATATGAGCTAGCAACTTTTCTAAACATCAAATTTCTAGTTCAAGTTGTTGCTTATACATTTCCATTAGGAGAAAAAAAGGGACACTAACATAGCAAAAAAACATTTTAATACCTGGAGATGAGGCCAAGCAGCTTCTAGCGTAGGTTCATCTTCTTCAGGATCAAATTCTGCTCCTGTAGGATTAGATGATGGTGGAAGTGTCCGGAAGAGATTCACTGAAAACTGAGAAATGTGACAATAAAATTGAGATGTTTCTGCAGATTGACTCAATGACTCAGTGCAATCCCTTATTAGGAAATCGCTAACCAAATATTAATTTTCTCCAGAGGCACACACTCTCCCCAGTTCCAGGAAGGAGAAAGCTTAATTAAAAATACAAAAACTTCTAAGTCTGTAACGAGAAACATTCTTCTCAGTGTTCCATGATTTACTGCTATTTATTTCTAAGCGTTACTGTGTACCCATCTCTCATGCTAAGGCACATCAAGCCGTTTGGAGTTGCCTGCTATCCAAGTTGTTTCTCCCTGGCATTTTGCAGTTTTTCAACATCAGAGGCGTAGCGTGGGGGGTGCAGGGGGGGCCGGCCGCACCGGGCGCAACATCTGGGGGGGCGCGCTCGCACTCGCAGCTCTCTGCCCCTGCCTGGCTCACTCACTCTCTCTGCAGTGCTGGCTGTGCGAATCCGATCCGAGCCACCGGGTCGCCGCCCACTGTGGAGGGGGGGGCGCAAATTACTTGCCTTGCCCCGGGTGCTGACAACCCACGCTACGCCACTGTTCAACATTGCTAAGTTTGACCATTGGAAGTAGTGACACCATCTGAGTAAGAATAGAAATTTTAAAAATCCAGTCAAGTGAACAGAAATAGCAGCCATTACTGTCTAAAACAGGGTTTCTCAACCATGGCAACTTGAAGGTGTGCGAACTTCAACTCCCAGAATTCTCCAGCCAGTATAGCTGGCCAGGGAATTCTGGGAGTTGAAGCCCACACATCTTCAAATTGCCAAGTTGAGAGACATTGGTCTAAAAGACAACCCTTCAGTGAGGTTTAACCTGAAGAGGCTAAAATTATTTACTGCATTGATTTCCTAAAATATGTGTCACTACCGATACAATAAATTGTCCATTTTTCTGCCCAATACAATGATTTTTCACTGACATATAGCAGAATACAGATAGTTCTCAACTTATGATCACTATCGGGACCAGAATTTCCATTGCTAAGTAAGGCAGTTAAATGAGTAACATCTGATTTTATGATCTTTTATGACATGATTATTAAATAAATCATTGCAGTTATTAATTGAATCAGGCAATCCTTAAGCAAATCTGGCTTTCGCCATTGATTTGCTGGTCCAAAGCAGGCTGAGAAGGTTGCAAATGGCGATCACATGACCCTGGGGTGTTGCAATGGTAATAAGTACATACCAATTGCCAAGCACTCAAATGTTGATCAGGTGACTGTGGAAATGTGCCGGTTGGAAGTGAAAGGACCGGTTGTAAGTCACTTTTTTCAGCACTGTTGTCATTTCAAATGGACGCTAAGCAAATGACTGTAATTTGAGGACCATCTGTATGACGCTCTATGCCAAACAGAGAATTTTCTAATGCTCAGAATTTCTTATTTCAGAAGTATCTGGCAACTATTATAAGAAACAGCATCAAAGAAGCACTATAACTTCATTCAACCAAACATGGCTGCAATACTATTTCATATCTCCCTGCCCAGAAGTCAGAAGTGGAAAGGGGGATTACTTTCTTTTCACACTTCAAAAAGCCAGATAAAAAGAGCTAAAGTGAACCACCAGAACATAAGTTTTTGGACTTCATAGAATTAAAACAGGAGAGGGCCATTATGCCATCAATATCTTCCCTTTTACCATAGAAATCCAAATTAAAGCATCCCAACAAAAGTTCTGCTTAGCTTCTGCTTGAACACAAAAAGAAAAGGGCAGTTCACTACTTCTCATGTTGAATTGGTATTACTGTTAAGAATTTCTTATTTTTTAACTGACAACCACTTTCCTATAATTCAAGATTCTATGGTTTGGGATGACAGAGAACAGATTTGGCCTCTTTCTGGGTAACATTCCTTCAAGAACTTGGCAAGTATTTTTAGATTCCCAAGTTATTATTACATGCTATTACATTTGTTCTTAGTTTTTGGTCCCTTATCTTTTATTGCATCTGTTATCTTTTTAGGTGCCTTAAATCAGAAAGCACAGTGGTATCCTCAAGTTGAAAAAAAGTTGCCCATCCCTCTTTTAAGCTGCTTTACTAGGAGTAGCAGCCAGAAGTAGATCAATATGTACCATGATAACTGCTTCAGGATAAATAGCTTCTGTGACAACATCCCGATTATGAGTAATATATTCCACCATTTCATTGAGTCCTGCTCGTTTGACCTCTTTGAATTTCAAGTCACTGAGTGGATCAGAAACAAAGTCAAAGAGGACACAGCACTGTCGTAACTTCTGTATGAAGAGGTCTTCCCGTTCATGAGGAGGAGCATCTGAGGGAGAAGATAAAAGGCAAAAATATTTCCTTTCTGCTCTAAGTATGTTGATGTTCCAATATCCAAATAGACCACACGGCAGGTTTTTTTCTCCTTCCTTGTACCATTATAAGGTCTCTTCTGCTTTCCATAGGCTCACTGACAATACTGTTGTGATAGATAAGATGTTCATATTGCTCTTCATTTATCAACCATGTGGGAATTTAAGTTTTCTCTCCTACACCCAGCCCCTCTCTTATCTAACAGAGAAATAAATAGTCTTGAAAAAGTAGGCTAAACAGCCATGAAATATAAGCTAATAGTAGCAAGAGCAAATAAAACAATTGTAATGCTTCAAATAATAAATGTATCACTTATCTGTGCTATTTCTCATCAAAATAACTATTCTCTTAAGTCAGTTCAATTGTCCATCTGTCTAACCAACAATTGTTTTTGATAGCTCTCTTTCAATTCATTTCCCTGTCCTCCATGAATTTCCTTCAGAACCACACCTTAAATCTTAGTAAATAATTAAAGCAGTACTATTTGTGATTTCTTTCACAATCATCAGGTAACACTGGCATGGACTCAGTATTCTGGTTGTGAAGATGATCTTTCAGATAAACCAAATGAGCTCATGGCAAAGGAAATTATACTTGTAGAAGACACAGATCTTCTGCACTAAGAGCTCACACAAAATACTAAGCAATCTTTATGAAGTTCCTGTGAGCTATGTGGTCTACCTCTTAGAAGTATTTAGTCACTTTTATACAACTAGGCATTACAGTCTGTCTCCTGTTTGGGAATATGATGCCTTGCAAATACAAAACCCGTATGACATCCCAGGCATGAGACATCTCCATCCAAGGTCCTAGTATCTTCTACATAGAGATTTCCATGGACTTCCCAAGACAAAATGCCTCTGACATCCAAATCTTTCACACACTTTACTACTTTATTTCTCAGCAAATATATGAAAGCAACTTATGCTGAGTATGGAATTTGGCCAATCCATAATATAGTCTATTTATGACCATCCTTTTCCTTATGAACTTGAAGTGATCCATATAGGAATTTCCCCTCATTTTATCCTCATAATTTTGTGAAAACAATAGACTAAGAATGTTTGACCCCAAATGATGCAATGAGCTGCATTATTAAGTGGGGATTTAAACCTTAAATCTTATCTTAACAACTACATAACATCAGCTTTGTGACTTTGATTAATTGTCTCATCCATGCTCTCCTTGTAAATTCCTTAACCTCATGAGAGAATAACTACAATTATTTATATCTTCTAAATGACAGATCCCTGGAAAATTTAATGCAATGTGATATCTTGCCAGACTTAAGAGGTGTTTCCCTTTCTGTACTGCAACCACTCAAATTAGCATGGCTGTCTCTCTGCTGAAATTTTCCTAACAACCCATTGCCATCGCCCAGAAAATCTGTTCTCACCTTTAAGAGCTGGAAGCTTCTGAAGCTCCCGGTTTTTGCTTAAGTTGAAACGAGAGGAACTTTGCCGTCGTTCTTTCTTTACAATCTGGGGTCCCCCTGAGTACTTGATCTTATTCAGCTGGGTTGGTGGAGGGGTGCTGTTGCTGGGACGCTTATTTGAGGTCTGCTGCTGTTGCTGCTGCTGTTGCTGCTGGATCTGAAGAAAAACACAGAATGCAGGCTTTCTTTAATCTGTACATTTTTAAAAAATATCCAAATTATATCACTACGATTTCAAAAATATTTACTTTTTGGAATAACCAAGAGTAGTCATTTGGGGTTCAAAGCCTGGAATTAAATCTGCTGGAGAATGATCCACTGGAAGATCCTCACATAGTATGGAGTACTGCCTTTCAGAATCACCCATTGCTGATAAATAAATCTGGAAGGAAGGGCTCAGGTCCCTCTAAAAGAGCATTAACTTCTGCAGACATGAAGATGTGTCTTTCAATTATTATCTCCTTCTGTGTAACAGCATTCCCTAAGATTACATTAGCACCAGCCCTGTTGGTATTTGGAAAAGCCATTAAGATCTGGTTTCCACAGGGAACCACTTCAAGTTTGATTTGAGAGCTGAGATCCACCCCATAAACTGACAGTTAAGCCATAATTCCCTGGTGCTGTATATTTGATTTGTGTTATTGTTATATTGTGTTACTGAATTGCAGCATATAGATAACTAAATTTAACTAGCAGGGGCTTTTTGCCTAGCGCTACCAGTTTTTAATGTGGTTTCTAGCAGATATATAGAAAAAAATACATGTATAAGCATATATATAACTGTGTCTCTCACACACATATTTACTAAAAGATGGCAATTTTCAGGACTGGCTTCAGCTGGATTGTATTCTTATGTACTGTATCTTTCTTATTTATTCTTCTTTAAGGAGAGGTCAGCTTAACTTTGGACTTGTTTTAATTTTAGATACATATAGTGCCTACAATAAGTACTAATTTTATCAACCCCCAAAAGGGCTCAGTATTATTCCTATCTAGATGGCAACATTGCTCAGAGGTCCAGTCCAGACAGTATTGGTATTATTAAGTATGTCTTCTGTTTATATATGTATTCATTTCTCCTTTCAGAATTCAAGCAATCATACTAGAAAGATTCTAAATCAAAGACAAATTTCCCAGCTTACTTGTTTTATACTGCAATTGTGAGATGTACAAAACTACAACTCACGTAGATAGACATATGTGAAAAATGTAGGAACGGTCTAGGGTCAATCAAAGAATCTGTGATTTGTAGTAAAATCCGTCTCACCACTGCTTTTCACATGAAAATCACCTTTCTTTTTCTTCTATTCAGGCAGTCCTCAGTTAACAACGGTGATTAGGGCCAAAATTTCAGTTGCTAAGCAATGTGATCATAAAGTACAACCTCATGTGATCACTTCACATAACAAGAACAATCCTAGCAGTCCTTCTTGCCATAATTAATCAAACTCGAGCAGTTGTTAGGTGAGGACCAATCCCAATCCAGGCCATTCCTAGCTTCGTCTGTCCCAGCCCTGAGCCTAATAAGGTAGGGGACTGCCTCCTTTTGAACTCTCCCCTCATCTCTCCCCTTTTGACCACCCTACATGGCAGCACTCCTTGGTGGCAATGGCAGCAGCACTGGGGCTGAGGCAGAGGCCCAGCGCCTTCAGCAGTCTCAGCTGCTTGCTGCCACCCTGAGGCCTCCATTTCAGTTCCAATGCTACCAAGGAGTGCCCCCTCAAGCCAGCCATCCCAGAGCAAAGCTTAGCCACTTTTGCTGCTCTGCACTCCATTGGCCCTGCCACCCCAACAGACCTTCACCAAGGCTGTGGGTGCTCTTCTCCAAGTTACATGTACTTCTCCAGATTGTGTACTGTACATGTACACAAATTGTGGTGCTTCACGAGGTTTCTGAGGCCTTCAAATCATCGCAAGAAGGCTGCATATGTGTGTGTAATATGGAGAAGAGCAGAAGGCCTGGTGTGGCCAGCAATTGCCTTTCATAGGGCCGGGCCAGGTGCACCTTATCAGCAAAGAGAAGAACAAACAGTTGAAGGTCATTTAGGGAGGATGGGCTGGCAGAGTGCAGGGCAGCAGAGTTGACTGGGGCTGGCACTGTGGCACTGTGATGGCTGGCTGTGGCACAATGCCTGAGGTAGCACTCCTAAATCACAATGTTGGCACAAGCAGCACTGGGTCTGTAGTAGAGACCCAAATTCTGACATTTGATCAATATGACTGCAAGAGAGCTACAAAACTTAACTTTACAGGCATTGGACTATAAATACTATTTATTCAGTGTTGTAAAAACTTTGACCATCACTGAACAAATGATCATTAACCAAAGACTATCTGTATGTGCTTTAATTAAGCACTGATTCTTATCCTGCTCAAACAAAAAAAAATATAGTTACAGTACCAGTTTGGGAACAAAGGAAGGCAGTAACATAGAATTTGAAGTTGGTTTAATAAAATGGTATGATCCAATGCTAGTAAACATAGCCTTATAGTTTAGATAAAATGGGAAACAATAGTTAATTTGAAGCTTTCTAGTTTCATTGCTCCTCCTTATAAAGGAGTGAAGTTCCTTTATCAGCTGTTAAGCTGATATAGAAACAATATAGAAAAGAACTACAGTAAATGGAACTGGTCTCTCAGCAGAGCCAACAGACAAGACCTATATCCATCTTTCCTTCTGCTGTAGCTTGGTGTGATACATGCTTCCAAGTCTAAGGTAATACTATGTACCTTGCTTGAACATCTGCATCTGTACTTACTCCTATCAATGAAGATGACAGATGCTTATTAAAGTTAGCAGTCTCATCAAAAATACAATTTTTCATTTGTTACTTGGCCTATTGATCTCTTGAAAGTAAAATACATACATTCTAAAATATATAAGGGGATAAATTGGAACGACTAATGCCTTTTCTTTATCTTGTACAGCAAAGAGCAATTTATACAAACAGGAAGCGTATTAGTCTCAAAACAATACTTTTATAAAAATGATCAGTGAAATTATATTTATATGTAGTTCCATTATATGATGTTTATCAAGGTGTGCCCACAACACATGAGAAATGTGCTAATTAATTTGAAATTTTAGTTATATTCAGTCACGTTACATTTAATAAGGTTTGATTTCCTGTCACTACAGACAATAAAAACAAAATTATTTCAAAGCATGCTCTGGGTTTATTTATTCAACTTACACCTTCTTTTTTTGTGCAGCAAATATTCAATGTGGACATTTGAGTTTCTAAATTAAGGATAAAAATCTAGTACCTTCCAGATGTTTTGAACTACAATTTCTAGACCATACGGCCAATGTTACATATTCTATAATCCAGAATTGCTTGCTTTACATTACCTTATTTATTCAACACTAAGAAACCCCACCTTTAAAGAAGCTCATTTGGTGCTACCTATTAGGGGGGGAAAGGAAATCAGAAAACACATTACTACTTCACTTTCCTTTGTTTCGTGTTATAATGTTGAAATATGCATGGGAGGGTAATTTAAGATGAGCTCATCTTTCTGCCCTCTCTTTAAGAACTGTATTTCATTTTAAAATCTTACAATAATCAATCTACTAAAAAGAATTTTTAAATACACCAGTAAAAGATTAGGCAAGAATAATACCCTTCACCAATGGTCAAAATGTTCAGTATTTTTTCTTCATAGTTGGTTCAAATTTGCATATCCCTATATCTTATCTAAAACAATATACCATTATTTGATGCATGTATGAATTAGCAGATTGTTATAGAAAGAATATCAGACTGCTCCAGATAAATTCAAATACAGTGCTTCAAAAGGCAACAATTCATGCATCCAACTGAAAGTCATCAAAATAACAGAAATATAACGGCAAGCATCCCATGCATGACTCAGCCATGATGTGTTAAGTTCCTACTTGCTGATTATTAATAAGCAATCTCTTATCTGAGAAATTAATTTCATATCAAATAACACCGAAAACAGAAAAGATATAGTAGAAAAAGAGAACTATATTGCACAGACAATATAAATTTTGAAGTTCTTTTTGCTTTAAGAATTGTCAGCTGTGAAAAGTGTAAATAAAAACCCAAGTATCTACACAGAGAATAAGAAAGATTTTCCTATTGAATCTCCAAGGAATTATATAGGTCAAATCATTCTGGTTTTAGTGTACCCAGTAATGAATGGTTTGTTCTTCTTACTATGGAAATTGTTCTCATGTTTTCTCCACCATCACAGTTCAAAGGCATTGATTTTTCTTCATTTAGCTTTTCTGATTGCCCAGGTTTTGCAGACATATGTTATAACCAAGACCATGTAGTTAATCATCATCATCATCATAATCATCATCATCATCATCTTGTCGGCATTATGATCTTCAATATTTTGTCTTGATTTTTTTATCCCAAGTAACAGTATCTTTGTTTCATGGTTAAAGTCATCATCTCCATAGATTTTTGAGTATTATTTTTACTACAGTACTTCTTCACTAATTTGCATGGGATTGGCACTAGTAGTTGTTATAACATCGGCTTTCAAAAATTAATATCATTACAGAGCATAACAGCATTTTTGCACATCCATCTTTCACCTTCTATAAGATTCTTTAAGTCTTCCTCACAGCCACCCAAATAATATCAACAATATATCTTAGTACTATTTCCAGCAATTTTAATTTTGATTTTTGATTTTCTCCTCCAGTTTTGTCAGGTATGTTTTGCATATAAGCTAAATAGATATGATGACACTATGTATCTTTGACATGCTTCTTTTCTAATTTTGAACCACTGAGTCACTCCATATTCTGTTCTAACTGTTACTGTTTGGTGAGAATATGAATTGCTCAGTATGCAGATGAGTAATAGTATGCATCCTTGTCTTAAAATGCAATCGACAATTTTTGTTGTCTAAACACTCCAATTTTTAGTATAATCAATAAAGCAAAAAGAAGTATGTTTTGGAATTCTCTTGTCTTTTCCATTACCCATAGGATGGTCTGCAATGTGATTCTAGGTGATCTGTACTTTCTGAATCTAGCTTATACCTCCAGTAGTTCTTGATATATTGCTGAAATCTGGACTCTAAAACTTTAAGCATTATCTTCCTAGCACACGAGGTAAATGCAATTATTCAAAAGTTTAAGCATTCTATTTTTGGTAGTGGAATATTTTTATT